GAGAAATTGAGGGAGATGTATCATGCGGAACTTGGGAGGACTGCGTAGATAATCTCTGTTGAATGCCCTCATATTGTAGATAAGTCGGAACTTTTCTTTTGAGTTTTTCTTGGGCACTAGGAAAACTGGGGAGTAGAACCCTGGTGTGATATGGGCTGGATCCATGACTTCTATGGCTTGCTTCTCTAGTAGAGATGTAACCGCCTCTCGTAACCTCTCTGTCTGATGGGTCTTGAAGTCGAAATTGTGAGGGTCGACTGTAAGCGGCGGAGCTGCCTGTAGTTGTATGCGATATCCGTGTCTTAGGATGTTGGATACAAACGGATCGTTTAGTAGTCCCCAGTTTTCCCAGTACCGTTGAAGACGTCCACCCACTTGTGAAGGTTGCACAGGAACGGCTGGGGGTGGAAGTCTCCAGTCGTTCCGAACCCCTCTTTCATCGTCGAGGATCCTTGGCGCCTCTGGGTGCCCTGCCTCGTCCGATTCGTCCTTTGTAGTTGCCGGTTGGGCGACGAAAAGAATCCTTGCCACCCCTGGAGAAGGTCAGTTTCTTGTCCCTTGCCTTCTGTATCCCGGCGAATTTGGACCTGCCCGAGTAGCGCTGGGATGTCTGCCTGACGACGCTGGCCAGTGTATCAATGGACTTGATCATAAGGACCTCCCTGGAGTCTTTAGTGACCTCCTTGGCAACATGGTCAATCTCTCCAGCGAAGATGGATGGAGTTGACCATGGGGCTCTGTAGAATGACTTGGTGAAGCGTTCACTCCAGCTGCAGGAGGCAGGGAGACCTTTTCGTTTTTTTGCTAGTGTCAGTGCTGCGGAGATGGATGATAGATGGTCCGTCATAAACTGCTGGTCCTTTTTCTGCATAAGGAGTGCAGAGTAGATCATCCTGTCTTTAGCGAATTTAGCTATGAGTGTTTCGTTGATCGCCCTATCTCTGTTGAGGCCGAAGAACATTCGTCTGGCCATCGTTTCGATATGTGCCAACTTCTTGTCTTCTATCTTATAGGATTTAGACTTGGTATCGCCGATGACTTTGATGACTTTGTAGTTCTCGTCGATGTCCTGTGCCTTCAGGAACGGATCCATGTTATGGGAGGAGAAATTTTTGGCGTTAAACTGTGGCAGAGGCGGCGCCTGGGCTTTCGTAGCATTTTTGAAGGCTGTTTCAAGGTTCTCTGGACCGCTGCGCTGGGATCAATTAGTGGAAGTGTGATCGTATTGACGTCATCCTCATGCATTAGGTAGGTGTGAGCTGAATTCGCATCCTTTGAGGGTGACGCCAGTCCAGACTGTTGGCCATCCAGTAGCGTATGTCTGAGTCCGAGAAAATAATCCGGGCCCTCATCCTCTATGCCAGGAGCGCTGATCAAGGATTGGTGATCCTCCTCCGGCATTGATCTGAGTGGAGACCTTCGCGACTGTGGAGATCCGAATGGAGACCTGGGCGGAGACTTGCAGGGTGACCGTCGTGGTGACCTTCGTGGAGACCTTCGTGGAGACCTTCGCGGAGACCTGTGTGGAGATCTGAGTGGGGAGGAGCCCGACGTCTGTAGGGCGACCTGCGCGGAGAAGAGAGACGTTTGGTTCGCGACTGCCTCGATGAATCCCTCGACGATCTGCGTGAGGTAGACGAAGTTTTGGAGGCTGTGTCCGACGTCCTTCGCGAGTGCCTTCGCGAATGCTGCTCTTCTGAGTCCACAACTGGGGATTGGCGATTGGTCCTTTACGAGTGCCTTCGCGAATGCTGATCGTCTGAGTCCGTATCTGGGGATGGTTGATTTGACATTCGCGCAGGCTGGTCCCGAAGCGTAGATTCATTGCCAGACGTCACGTTGGTGGAAAGTCTTGCGGAGGCGTCGACTGCGTTGGGACCCTCGCGAAGGATCGGGTCCTCTCTGCGGGCTGGTTGTTGATCATGCGATGCCCTCTCTAGTGCGAAGCGCCTCTCCATCATTTCCATGATCTGTTGGGAGAACTGCTGCATAAAGTCCCCCCGGGTTGAAGGTCTGCAGTGATAGATGAGCTGCCCTGTCTGCGGTGGTAGCGATATGGCCCAAGGAACGCTCATCTGCCGTCAGCGTAGATACATCAGACTGCGCTGAAGTCACCGTTACTGAGACTGGTCGTTTCTTGTGATTGAGCTCTGGGATGATAAGCGGCTGCTCATGGTAGAGTCCCTGTTCCGACAGCGGGACAATCTCGGCCGAGAATGTCCTAGTAGTCTGCGCTGATTTCCCCTTAGAGGTGGTCGTCGCCCTGGGGGGTGCGTAGCCTCCTGGTAGATGACGACTTCCTCGTCTTAGGCTGCGACGAAGGGACGTCCGGAGCAGCAGGCCTCTTCATGGGTGTGGCGGACAACGTCCCACTCCAGGGTAACACCAGACGGGAGAGGGTCGTCCGACATCAGTTGACTCGTGAGGGACTCAGCTGATTTATCCATGACATTACAAGCCCGTCTCGACCTATCTGCAGCACGTCTAAAGACACAAAGAAGGTATTTATTAAATGCAAAATTAGTTAAATGCTGGCAATGAATGCAGCGCGAGCTGGAAGAGCATGGTACCGTGCAACTAGGGCACAGTTGATGAGGGTCAGCAGCAGAGAACAAAAGTCTACAATTGAAGCAGGTTTTCATGCACGTAAACAACTGAACAACCACGGACAAAGCGTGAATAAACAGTGCTAAATACGACTAAATATCAAACCATATTGATGAATAATACTAACTAAACCTCTATAAAGGTAGAATAGAGGCTTAGAACTAAGAAATAAAAGGATATAGTGCCGTATAGGAGACACAGGCGCTCTCACAACCTGCTCACAGAGCGAAGGAGGAGAGAGTGAAGCGTGGGGGAACGGTGGAGCCACAGTTTCCCAATAAGCCAAAACAAAAAAATAGAGACAACTCTGGTGAGTAGTGATTTTACGTCTGTTTTATTGAAGGGAACTTCAATAGGAGATACAAGTGTATCACATATAACAAGTGTCTGCAATGTTATGATATCACATATAACAAGTGTCTGCAATGTTATGATATCACATATAACAAGAGTCTGCAATGTTATGATATCACATGTAACAAGAGTCTGCAATGTTATGATATCACATATAACAAGAGTCTGCAATGTTATGATATCACATATAACAAGCGTCTGCAATGTTATGATTTCACATATAACAAGCGTCTGCAATGTTGTGATATCACATATAACAAGTGTCTGCAATGTTATGATATCACATATAACAAGTGTCTGCAATGTTATGATATCACATATAACAAGAGTCTGCAATGTTATGGTATCACATATAACAAGCGTCTGGAAATAAGCACAAGAGTACGTAAAGTGAAATTTGTCGAAAACAGAAAGATGAGTGAGTGAGTGAGTGAGTTTAGTTTTATGCCGCACTCAACAATATTCCAGCTATATGGCGGCGGTCTGTAAATAATCGAGTCTAGACCAGACAATCCAGTTATCAACAGCATGAGCATCATACTGCGCATTTGGGATATGATGATATGTGTCAACCAAGTCAGCAAGTGAGACCACCCGATCCCGTTAGCCGCCTCTTATGACAAGCATAGTCGCCTTTTGTGGCAAGCATGGGTTGCTGAAGACCTATTCTACCCCGGATCTTCACAGGTCACAGAATGATGAGACACTGCCTTGGAGCAGTGACTGATGACTACACAGACAGTGACTGAATGACTTATTGTTGATGTGATGATAATTTACTTAAATACTAGGTGATATTAAATGATCTTAGTACAGTGAGTGAGTGAGTGAGTTTGGTTTTACGCCGCTTTTAGCAATATTCCAGCAATATCACGATGGGGGACACCAGAAATGGGCTTCCCACATTGTACCCATGTGGGGAATAAAACCTGGTTGTTCGACATGACGAGCGAACACTTTTACCACTAGGCTACCCCACTGCCTCTGATCTTATTAGTAATGGTATAACTTGTCATAATGATATTCTAAATCATTAACACCAAAACCCAAATTTATATATAATTGAATATTGAGCAGCATGTGCAACCTGTTTGCGTCTGGTGCAACGAGGTTATTACCTAAGCTTGCAATGGGTGCAAGTAAGTTATATTTTCTTAAATCAAACCCTGGTTTTGGTTATCAGGATATTTGGCACTTAGAGAACAAGCATTGTCACTAAGGTGACATAATCCCCAGCTGCAAATTATCAAATCAAACTTAAACAGTAATGAAAGTTTAAGATGAAGTTAAATGTCAACAAAAACATGACCAGTCAACCTCTCTTGATATCTTGATCTATAGTTGTTCAAACTCACAAATATTTTCAAGACTCACTTTGACCTTGACATGAATGTCTTAGTGTATGAAATATGCAAAAATAGTAATAAAGAAATTGCTTATTGAAAAACATTCAAGGGAAGTCTTGAAAGTCTATGAAGAAAATCCAGTGAACTGTTCTTGAGATATCTCGCTGACAATCTTAACATGCAGTTTAACATGCTGAAATCTTCAAAGTGTCACTGTGACCTTGATAATTATGTGAAGGCCACCAAAATCGACTGGACCTTGCACCTTCTCTAGATGAAGCTTGGTGTCAAACATGAAGAAAGTCCAGTGAATGGTTCTTGAGATATCTCACTGACAAGCTTAACATGCATCTTAACATGCTGAAATCTTCACAGTGTCGCTGTGACCTTGAAAAGGAGACAACATTAGCCAATTTGAAAGCAGATTTCTGGAGCTGTTGGCTCTAGTTTCAATTTTGGCAACTATGCTTTGAAATATATATTGATGTATTCTTCATTCAAATTTGAAAACCGAACAAAAGAACATTCTAGAATGTCTAATAGATGGCTAATTTTGTATTGCAGCACATACAATGGGCAATGCAAAGTCTTTTCATTTCAAATGTCTATGGACAACCCAGTGATAGACATCATGAACTGCAATCCACATTTGTTGTGAATGTGAGTAGGAGGTGACATAGCGCCATTCTTTGCTCACCTTTTAAATTCCATAGCAAGATATTTGAGCAGGACTTCAGTGAACTGGTTGCCTCCGAACTGATTGTCCGCAGTGGATGAACACACTCGGTACATGCCGTTTTCTATCTTCAGTATCGTCGCATCACTAGATGTACCTCCTAGCCGATACACCAGGGCATAGCTAGAAGCAAAATCACGAGGAATTATTATCATGTTCATGGTGTTGACAACTATTAATATTTATGTCATGTCAACATGTATAATTCATGTAGGATTTTTTAAGAAAGAAAATTGCATGAGTGAAAGCATCATCACCAGACAAGAGTGAGCTCCAGAGAATAAAGTTGTCAAAATCACAGCTGAGATATATTCAGTAAAGTCGTCAAAGGTCATCGTCATTATAGTATATCCTCCTCATCATTGATGAGATTACCCCCACTCTGGCCCAGGCTAATTTGCACATCTTTTCTCTTGTTTATCAACAAACATCCTTATTTTGAAACAGAACAAGTTGGAATAACGCAAGCTTTTCAATGGATAACTGAACAAATTGAAGTAGTGTTGCACGCTTTTGGGATATTTTCTCTGTGAAAGTCAAGAATTCCATCACATATTTTTATATAGATGTTTAGACAAGTCAAAAGTGAAACAGATGAAGAACACATAAACTATCTTGAACTGACTGTGCAAGATGGTACAAAGATGGTACAAACACATGGTGGTCACCTGTGATAGAGCTTGGAGCTTGGAGCTTGGATTGGAGATAAATGGTTCATCTGCCAAGGTAATTCTAGCACATGTTCCTCATCAACATTGAGTTTACCTGCTCTCTGTGTAGTCGATCTGTGCAAGGTCATAGGTCAAGGTCATTATCACACATCATCATTGATGAGTTTACCTGCTCTCTGTGTAGTCCATCTGTCCAAGATCATAGGTCAAGGTCATTATCACACATCATTGATGAGTTTACCTGCTCTCTGAGTTGTCCATCTGTCCAAGGTCATATGCCAGTGCTGCAGCAGATGCTTCGTTGATTAGTCTCAGGATGTTGAAGCCAGCTTTCGTTGCTGCCTCACTGTCAAAAGATATATACCGTATTAGATGTTGACAACATGACAAAATACTGCAGTTTCCAAATAGATAAATACCATTGAGAGTTAAGTTAACCAAAAGTGAATGAATTTAGTTGGAAACTACAATCAGCAATATTTCTTCTGTATCAAGGGGGTCAGCATCCTCGATAATCTCCAGGGTATACGTTTCAATATATTTCCACTAGTACCCTGGATGCATCTATGGCTCTGCCCAATAATTTTATTACCTCCCTTTGCTGGCTCCACATTCTCACAGCAGCTAATCAGCTAAGCCGCCGTTACAACTAGCCAGTGTCAACAAAGATAGCGGTTGCAGCCGTGAAGGTTTATTCGCAGTGTGACTCAGATTTTGGGGGAAATCATACAGACAAATTGACAGGTCTGAAACCTTAAAAATTATATGCAAGAACTCTTTCTACCTCTTTCAGACTACCTCTGCAACATTTATGTTGCCAAGTTAATCGGTTAGACAAAAGAAGCGAAAGTGAGTTGTGATTGGTACGCTCAACTTCCCAGCGTAGACACCTGATTGGATAAAAAGCCAGCCAAGAGAGATAATAAAATTATGGAGCTGAGCTGTAGATGCATCCAGGGTATAGTGAAGATTTATCGGAATGTATACCCTGGAGATTATCGAGGATGGGGGGTCAGTAAAGTTTGAAGCACTCTCCAGTCATGCCAGTGGTCCACAGTACGAACACTGATGTGTCATTGGGATGCAATGACACACGAAACCTGTGTGAGTGAATGAGTGAATAAGTCCAAAGTCATGGAACAGAAGAAGAAAGTCCAAAATGATTCAAAGTCCAAAGTAACCCATTAGCATTGTTTTGGTGGTGGCATACCTTTAAACACTATCCTGGTGAACCAGAAATTGATTCCATGATCACAGGTTCCTGGTGTTCGAAAGGGACATAACTATGCACTGTGAATTGCAGTACCTAAGACAACTTGGCCATCCAGGTCCCAAGCACTCATTCATAATCATATTCACTCATTTTCAATAGTGGACTCTTAAAACAACCTATGGTCACTATACCTCATGAACAATATTACTGGGGCCCAGGGGTTGAAATAACCCATTGCCCGATGCCCGAGTCCAGTGTTTTTTTCTGTCGGGCAAGCAAATTTGTATATCACACTGTACCGGTGTCCAGTTGACTTTCCAATATTAATTATGTTCATTATGTAAAAGATCAACAAGAAAACATCTGTTATAGTGGAAAATTTATCAGGGCAAGTGATTTTACATGTGCCACTGTACCGGAGAACACTAGCAATTTTAAAGTTATTTCCACCCTGGGGCCCAATAAAAAAGACCAGAACGTCTGTAAAACTATTCATAAGTCTATGATACAAAACCTACAGCTATGATAGCTCTAAACACCATGAACAGTTTGTAGATCAGGCCCCAGAATGACAGCAATACTGTACACTTATACTAACCTGAAAGCGTTTCTGTGTTCCGGACCAAAGCCAAATGGTACAGTTAGAACTGCATCCTGAATTCCACTTCCTCCATGACTCTGGGCAGTTTCTAGAAAAGCACACACAGAAGTGCAATGTCAGACTTGGATATAATGAATATACGTCAATATACAGTCGAACCCCGTTTATCCAGACATTTTGGTTACACTCGGAAATCGTCCGGATAGCGAGGCGTCCAGTTAACTGGATCAAACAAGCAAAATGTATTGACGATTTATATTGAAAATGTATTCATGTATGTACATGTATATCAATAAACCAAGGGAGACAATTACAATGCAGTTAATCCTAATTAACATGTGGTTTCGTTACTGATGAGATGTTCTCACACCTGCCAAATCCTAATTAGCAACTGAAGTGACACGCGTAATTCTAAGACGCTTTGGTGAAAGATCAAAGGCGCCGACAGTACTTTATCAGACGATAATGTGCACTTTTTGCATTACGCCACAATGTATTGGCATCACTGCGCCATTCTAGTCTGTCCCCTCATAATCGAACAATTTTGCATTACGTCACAATGTAAACGACGTCACGATGCATGTCAGTACAGCCTCGTACAGCCTCCTACAGTAAACTACTCCTTTGCATCCCGTTTCTTGGTTTGCAGTTGCTTCACGCAGCTAACATCACTGGTGGAAACATTGTTTTCAGATGGTTAAAATGTCTTAATTTGACTCACAAGGTTTCAGTGACACGGTAAAGTTTGCATTGCTTACATTCCCACAATGCAATCGTGGAATGTAGCTTGACTACTCAGGTTGACCTGGATGTACTGATCTAAACTTACGTTGGTAGTAAGAAATGTGACGTTCATATTGACCCATATGGTTTACATTAATCACTAAAATATTTTAGAGAAGATATTTAATCCGAACGTAAGCCGTCATCAAACTGTTTTTCCTCTTTGTCTTAACATAGGGGGCAGACAGATCAGTAGAACAGCGTGCCAGTTAGCCCTGTACGAGGATTCTTAATTTAGGTCACCGACACTGTTGTCGTTTTTACCTTAGATTAATCGTAATTATCCTTAGAAAGTATTAAATTTGGCATCTTAGAAAAGAAATACAGTTCAGGGCGAAAGTATGCTTTATTACACTATACATGGTGGTAGAGTGAACTGTATTTCTTAAATTAATCAAGTCACATCAAACACCTGCTGAGAGAGATTTACAATGAATACACTTTCACATGCGGTAAACATACACATGCATATGCGCACAGATCTTCTCGTCTGGATAACATGATAATCTTTCAATGGAAATCTATGGGAATGGCTTGAAAATTCTCCGTCCGGGTCCAGAAGTGCAGGGTCTGGCTAAGCGAGTACAATTACTGAAGGTGTTATGAGAGTGTGTTTTTGGTAATTTGTAAATTCATTGATTAAGTGATAGTTATTATGGGTCACAATGTTTAAAGTTTTGAGCTGTGGGTTTTGGCTCGCATCTCGCATCATATATATGTTCAATGGCAATAGTATTTTTAGTGGCACGCCTTTTTGATAGTACTTCAGAGTTGCCTCCCTTGGCAACTTGTTGACTTCATGCTGTATGTTCCACATGATTCCATATTGTTCTGAGAGAATAATGATGGAGCCTAGCTTTGCTAGAATGCTCGAGAACTGTGTAAGAGCTATATAAAGGCTGGAGAAATGACGCATGTTTCATTGATAACAAGACCAATAAATAAGAAGAGGATCCCAGCATCTCCTGGGAGATAATCTCTGTATCTCCTACCTAGTATCTCCCCTAACCACTTCATGCTAATTCCAAATACATACAAAATTTGAACATGGAACCATAACGGCCTCTTCAGTTTGCCCAATCTTTTGGTCAAATCACCTCTCCTTCGATCAAAACTGAATGGCCTGTTTTTGTGGGACAGTGTGTGAAATATGCATCATATTGGGAAACATGCGTAAAATCACCAAATCATCATCATCATCATACCTAGCATCTTCCTGTAGATAATCTCTGCCACCTTGCTGGCGGAATACTGACAGGTCTTTCCCTTGTGACTTACTTCAAACTGTGGTATCCCATTTTTCTCTACAACCTGTGGAGAAGCAAACAGAATAAGTGCCTCTTGTACATTTTTCCACACAATGCAAGTGTTCCTTCAATGGTGCTCCCAATTGTGTGAGTGAGTGAGTGAGTTTAATTTTACGCCGCACTGAAAAATCCCGACAATCCACTGATCAACAGCATGAGCATTGATTTGCACAATTGGGAACCGATAACATGTGTCAACAAAGTCAGCGAGCCTGACCACCCAATCCTGTTAGTCGCCTTTTACGACAAGACGGACCTTCACGAGTACCTAATTGTATGCTGATGCAATTGTCACTCAGCACTGACAGGATGGTGTCGACAGGGAAATACGTCTTGGCCTTAAATACCTACATTTGGAACTTCTGATTAGAGAGAGCAGATACACTGGTCCTGTTTCTTTTCTCAATTGTCAAAATGTTTTGAATTTCTTATGCTTATTATTAAGTTTCACAGAAGGATGTGTTCTTGCATGTTCATACACAGAGGTATCATATCATATCAGAGTTAAAAAACTCAAGTCTGTGAGTTTAAACTGGATTTTGACCAAGGGCTGTCACTTCCTGCATTGGAAGAAAATTGATCTAACTTTTGAGCTGACAAAAGTTAGCAACAACCTGCCAAAGTGATATTTATTAATTTAACCCATTGATACAAAACTGTCATCTCGTATGTCTATGACCTGTTACCTTGGCTGTAGACTTGGCACCAAAATTCTCAACAACTGGGTCGTCCATCTTCCGTCCAAGAATTTGTTTGACATTACTGATAGTGTTGGCTGCATTCCTAATAATGCCCTGCTTTGCAGCAGCTCCGACTGACTGTAACAAAGAGTGAGTGAGTGATGTTTAACACCAAAGTCACCAGTCAGGATGATTTCATGTTTTTGTGGCTTTCTGTTCCCACGACTCTGTATAGGAATTTTAATTGCTTTTGTACATTTTGTACCATTTTGTTACCAGAGAAGAATAAACTAACAGCCATCAATAGTAACTTCATTGGTGACAGGGCGATGAGAGGTGACTGCAGCACATAAGATAGTCAAAGTCCTTTTAGGTGTGCTTTACTAACTTGGCCTAAGCACAGAAAAAGTGGGTTCCATAGTAGGTACTGAAAATCCACATTAAATTACATAGAGGATACCATCCAAGATATCCATGCTTAAGATCGCTTAAGAGTGAGCGAGTGAGGATTTACGCCACTTTTAACAATATTCCTGCAATGTCACGATGGGGGACACCAGAAATGGGCTTCACACATTGTACCCATATGGGGAATCGAAACCGGGTTATCAGCGTGACGAGCGAACGCTTTAACCAGTAGGCTACCCCACAGCCCCGATCACAGTAACTGGGAGTAAACATTTTGTAATCATGAACAGATGAACTGGCATTTACCTGATCATGGTCGGTGAAAGCAACAACACAGGGTGTAACTCGGTCTCCTAGATCGTTAGCAACAACATCTGGCTTGCCATCCTGAAACAGTATGGAGTATTTGAGATAAAATGCTACAGTCACTTGTTGAACGTATTGCAATACCTCATACAGGTATAACACGAGCTTATCTTGATTGGAAATATATCAGTAAAAAATAAACAGTTAACCATGCTTACAATGAACATGTTTCTAGCCAACTGTCAGATAGAAGAAACTTTTTTCATCCATGCCACTTGCTATACATTTTAAGCTGTTTTGCACAAAAGGAACTATAGTTGTAACAACAGTGGTCACTTTGAGTTTGTTACTGTTGCTAAACTAATACAGTCTCTGTAAAAAACCCAAAGAGAGTACTATGCTTTAATGCTCGGTATTACATTATTGCAAAGAAAGATATATCTAATACTTATAAAAACTTATAAAGAAACTTTTGTAATAAAAATTGGTAACCTCCGCTTGATATGTTTCTTATATACCGGTATCAGGATTATTTTGAGGGTTTAGGTTTAGGGATAAGGTGAGGTGAGGTGAAATGGGGTTTAACGTTGTACTTGAGAATATTTCACTCATATGACGACGTGCATGCGTGTGTATATGTATGTCCAGCTGTTTGTACTAGCCCAGACTAAAGCTGGTTTTATAATGCTAGCTCACTGAGGTACCATGCCGCAGTTAAGCATGAATACCCCACTCGGACACAGTATACTGACTCCGAGCCGACCAGTCCTTGTTGTACCCATAAATGCTGAGCACCAGGCAGGGACCAACAATTAGGGTTAAGGGCTTTTTTTAATAAAAAAAACACATCTATTCTTAGGCATAGAATGATAAAAATGGGGGTTACGGGAGAAATCTTTCCGCACAATTTGACTACTTGCCGATATACCATGATTTTCGGACAAAGTGCCCATACACACACTACAATGGTGCCTGAATTAATGATACATTGCCTACATTAGATCATCCAAGTATCTGTAAATATCTGTCTCGTTTTTTACAAATTCAAATTGCAAATTAGGGTTGGTTTCATTTCCAGACCAAATTCCATGGACGCAATGAGACGATGCTAGCTTTGAACTCCATGTTTCATGCATACACGACACAACGAATCAAACGATTAATCATCTTGCCGGTGAAAACATGGTGTAGTGAAGGACAGTTTTACGAGAATATGCATGTAATACTCTGTGCTATCGATACGTCACAATAGATTATACTATAAATTATTAATGCCATTTAATATTTCACTGAATATATCTTGTTTAACCTTGTATACAGCAAGGCAAGCAGAACACGTGCCAAAATGAACACCAAATGCCGCCATGACAGTTTTGTAATAGTTCCGGTTGAGTATGGGGACAGTAATTAATTTCCGCTACGCGCGAGTATCCAAATTTAGATCGGAAAGAACCAATCAAATTTCGCCAACTGGACTATGTGTTTGGGAAACACGTCGACTACACGCGAGTTGTCTGGATCTACCGGGTACACGCGTGCTTGTTGAAATTCACTGACGTGTTCAAGTATTTGTGTTGAAGTTTCTTAATCGAGTGAGAAGACCAGCTGCAGGTGTCGTTTTTCAGTATATCCGAAAATACTCCGTTTGTTTAGACCGAAGTGATAAGACGAATTTAAATCAACGTGTAGAATTCCCAGATCTGTCACTGAAGTGACATTTAGAATTTTAAGGGAGTGAGATTGTAACAGGCCGAAACCTTCAGAAATGCTTCCTACGGTAAAAGTTGGGATGGTTCAAGCATTGTCGCTGTTTGTGATTTACAGTATCTTTACAACAGCCAGGGCAGCTTTGAAAGAAGGAGAGTGTGAAGGTAAGGTATTAGTATTTGAAGTTAGATCGTTCAAGTGATAGCTTCAGGTTCTACCATAAAATCCATCATACAAATTTGAGAATCGATCTTATGTCGCGTAAGGCAAAGCAAATTTTTAAATTAATCGATTAATTGTGCAGAATGTCTACGACATTTTTTTCTTTGAATTTACAGTCTACATATAGTGTTTATGGAATTCTTTATAGATACTCTTCAAATTTCATAATACTGATTGAGAAGCCCATTTCAGGTTTCCCCGCCGTGATATTGCTGGAAAATTGCTAAAAGCGGCGTAGAACTAAACTCACTCCCTCAGAATACTGATTATCTTGATTTTGTACTGCTGTAGTAACATGACTTATAAAACTAGATAATTGTAATATTGACAATCTGTTTCAAGATATTGGCATGAATCTACATGTGTTAAAATTCAATCTGGGAAAAGTTTGAAATGAAAACAAGTCTCTGAGTAATTAGATTTTGACTTACAACCATAAAGCGTTCTATCGTTACACCGAAGATCCGGGTTTGATTCCCCACATGGGTGCAATGTGTGAAGCCCATTTTTGAGTCCCCACCATAAAATTGCTTGAATGTTTTTAAAAGTGGGGTAAAACTAAACTCGATCACTAAAACTGAATAACAACATAATGGGAAAAAAAATCATTGTTTTGTTATTATTAAGTTGTTACAATTAATTTGAAATTGTTTGAGACAAAGCCTTGTACTAGTTGTAGTTTCATTCCCATTATCAGTTTTGGTCAAAACAGTAGGATCTTTTGTGTCTGTGACAGTTAAATGTACATCATTAAGATTTGTGTGTTTGTGTACTGTATTCCTGACTGGCATCATTTCTGTTTTCAGTTTGTATCAAAGTTCTGAACAAGTTCAAAGAGACGCTCTCAGACCAGGATGTAAAATCAACTGATACTATTGAAACAAAGTTCAAGAAATTCTGCAAGAACCTTCGTTTGAAAGAAGAAAGATTTGTAAGTGACTCTTGATTAGTGTTGCGAATCGGAAACCAAACCAACTATTAATTATTGGAGGACTTGTGGTGAACGATAATCGATTTTAATCGAAATGTATACATTTTTAATGTTTTAAGGGTAATTCCCCAGGTTTTTTCAAATGAGCAATATATTTTCATATCTTGATTTTATCTCATTATGTTCATGATACATGTAAAATTTATTCATAGACAAGTTACAGTAATATATACTGTAGTGATGAATACGAAACTATGAATCAATGTGCAAAGCTTTACACTGTTGAGCTCATGTTTGTTCGTGAATATTCATCAAATTTAATGGTTAGTTTACTTCATTTAAGTGTGTTATACTAAAACAACAAAATTCTGATTGATCGAAATATTTTTTTACCATCGATAATTATTTTTAATCCTTCTTTCGATCGATTTCTATTATTTTCGATCATTGGAACACCACTACTCTTGATTAATCATTCTTTGTGTGTAGAAAGTGACAGCAGATGTATTGTGATAATGGTGGTAATATTGTAGATTCTGAGATGCTTCGCTAAAAGATCAAAGGCCTTGACAGTACCTTATCAGACGATTAAGTAACTTTTTAGCATTACGTCACACTGTATTGACGTCACTACCCCATTCTCGTCTGCCCCCTCTTAATTGTACCTTGGTAACTGACGTCACAATGCATGTCAGTTGTCATTGCCTCGTAAAGTCTCCTGCAATGAGGACTATAGTGACAGTATTATTGCAGACTATAGTGACAATATGTACATGTCTGCAATATTGAGGACTATAGTGACAATATAAATGTTTGTGATATTGAAGACTATAGTGACACTATAAATGGTAGGGGTGAAACTGAAACGGTATACCGTGGTATTAATAGAACCGCAGTATCTTGCCAATATGTATGGCAGTGATGTTAGAGTGAGTTTAGTTTTATGCCACACTCAGCAATATTCCAGCTATATGGCGTCGGTCTGTAGATAATCGAGTCTGGACCAGACAATCCAGTGATCAACAGCATGAGCATCGATCTGCGCAATTGGGAAACAATGACATGTGTCAACCAAGTCAGCGAGCCTAACCACCCGATCCCGTTAGTCGCCTCTTACGACAAGCATGGGTTACTGAAGATCAATATTCTAACCCGGACCTTCATGGGTCCAGTGATGTTAGACTATATTGACAATATGTATGGCAGTGATGTTAGACTATATTGACAGCATGTATGGCAGTGATGTTAGACTATATTGACAATATGTATGGCAGTGATGTTAGACTATATTGACAATATGTTGATGTTACTGAAGATCAGCATGTATGATGTTAGACTATATTGACAATATCTGGCAGTGATGTTAGACTAACCTGGCCCAGCATTCATGGGTCCAGTGATGTTAGACTATATTGACAGCATGTATGGCAGTAATGTTAGTGTATATTGACAGCATGTATGGCAGTGATGTTAGACTATATTGACACTTTTCAGATGAAGTGGGCCCTGGGCCCATGGTTACTTAAACTAGTGGGACATTTGCCACTGTAGGTGGGCCATCAGAAAAAATCAAGGGAGACAATGCATTCACTCTGCAATATTAATAAATTTACCATTGAAATAGCGTATCAGTTGTATCAGTTGTCTCTCTTGAGCGTGAACGTACGGAAATTATCAGTTCCATCGGTGAAAACATTATGTTTCCATTTTTCAGACAAAGTGTCATTTTGTTTTTACACATTATACAGAACCCACGGATACAAACCTAGCCATTTCGTTTGGAACGAACGGGTCAATGTTTTGCTCTCAGTTTCAACATCGGTCTGCGTGTCATTGGCTTTTGATGGTTCCGTTTCAATTACTGCCTCTGATTTACTGTTTCACTGCCTCTTGACAGCAGCAGACGACTTCACCAGATGACTTTTTATATCCCGCAATGCGTTTTGCGGGGGGTATTAAAATGGACTCCGTCCGTCCGGCCGTGCACATTTGTCTTTTCCGGAGCAGAACTCTAAAACCATTCAATATTTCTTCACCAAACTTGGCACATAGATAGATCTGGTAGTGTATTGGTGCCTTTTGGTAGTTTTGGATTTCTGAATAAAATAATTTTGGCGTTTCCGTGGCAACAAGTTCGACTTAGACTTAAATTGGTGATAGTGCTCCTTTCTGGAGCAGAACTTTAAAAAAACTTTCAATACTCTCCTTCCACTTTCCTATATACGTACCTAAATATTTGACATAATCATAACTCGTAGACATAATCATGAAGAGTATTTTGCCATTGCGGGGGATATTGATGACTTTGTCTTCTTGTTCATTTTGTTTTGATAACTGCAAACTGTCTTTTCAACTTCAGTTACCGCACTTTGATAATGATATAGACCTGGAAATACACTAGTAAGGGGCGCAACTCTTAATGTATAACGAAACAGCATGACTTGAATAAGCTACGTATTATAAGCTCCATGCATTGATTTGGGCACCGCATTAGTCGCGTGAAAGCGTGTACGGGAAAGCGTGTACAGCACTGCGGGGATTACGAATGCCGATTGATCACTTGAAATTGTAAAAAATAAGTTGTAAATATTAAAGAGTTTGGAGAGGAATGTTTTTACATGATTATGAGTCAAATTATGTTTATGGTGCGCCAATCAGACCCACAAGGTTAAGGAATACTCCGCCATTTTTAACTATCATGCGCCAATGGTGCAAGGGCGTGGTCTAAATTAGACTCTGAATACCACATGCACATCTTTTTATTTTAGGTGTACCGCCAGGGCACTATGAAAATGGTTCATATGTGCCATCTCAGTATTTATTGTGCCTTGAGGGGCGATGGGGTAGCCTAGTGGTTAAGGTGTTTGCTCATCACGCCAAAGGCACGGGTTTGATTTCCCACATGGGTACAACATGAGCCCATTTCTGGTGTCCCCTGCCATTATGTTGCTGGAATATTGCTAAAAGCAGCGTAAAACCAAACACACTCACTCACTATTGTGCCTTGGCACTCAGCATTATTTCGATCACTGCAATGGTATGTGCTTTATGTTACAGTGCTATTATGTCGGGGGCTTGGAGACTTCAGCAACTACAATCATCCAGGCTATCTCAAAGCCCATGAGCTACTTCAAGCCCAATGAGAAGATCTGTGAGGAACTCAAGAAGAAGGATAGCCAGATCTGTGAGCTGAAATATGGTGAGTTCTCGGTCATAATTCAGGGATTCTGCAGCGACAGGAAAAGTTCCCAACATCCTTATGCCTATTGCTGATGAGGATTCTAGAAATGGTTTCAGTGAGGGATCTGGCTGTTTGGAAATATTTGTTTGTTGGTTGGTTTGTTGTTTAACACCGCATTCAGCAATATTCCAGCTTTATGGCAGCGGTCTTTAAGTAATCAAGTCCAGACAATCCAGTGATTGACATCTAGAGCATCGATCCATGCAATTGGGATACGATGACATGTGTCAACCAAGTCAGCGAGGATGACCACCGATCATGTTAGTCGCCTCTTATGACAAGCATGGGAAGATCAATTCTAACCCGGATAATCACGGGATGGTTCAGGAAGGGCGGAAACTCAACTTTTATAGTTAACTAGTGTTGGGAATTGGTTGAAATGTCACAATTGATGATTGCTTCTACTCTCCTACCCAGAGTTCCATGCGGCAAGCCAGCACAGTACCTCTGCCACAGGCCAGAAAAATGTGACGATTCGTCACATCTTGCACCGTTCATTCAATATAATGTACATATTTCTTAAATGTTCTATTTTTAACAAGCCTACACATCTAATTAAGCATCTTTGATAGAATGGTTTAGTTTCACTGAGAAAATATCCTAAAACATGTAACACTATTTCGATTTGCATAGCGATCCTTTGTTTACATAGGTTGTACGGCTCCACGTGCTGTCATCGACGCCGACGGAGAGCAAACGATGCAGCTAGTTTGATATATAAATATGTACTGTCATAAACCTTACTGTCGCAGTTGTGGAAGAATATACATGTAACAATGTAAAACATTGTGAAGAGAGCTGAAAAGCTTGCATAAAGCCAGTCTCTTCTTGTTATGAATATGCACGTTTGTTTACAAACAAGAGAAAAGTCTGGTCACGTGACATGCAAATTAGCCTGTGGCAGTGATGTTATGCTAAGTCATCACTGCGCCTGAGTGTGGATTGCTTCATTACCATTGAACAATCATCGAAAAAAATTGGTTAGCATCATTTTTCAGATTTTCCCATCCAGGTTGTTACTGCAGAAAAGTATAACATGTTGCAACTTGCTACATTAAAGTGATGACTAATATATCATGAACATAAACTTCCCTGGAGTCTTAGAGAAATATTCAGTCATGACTATTCAGTTAGTGAAGTGAGTTTTCTAAGAAATAAACATGTTTCCAGGCCCTTAAAACTTCTAAGATATGTTCCATTGTCAAGTATTTCAAAGACTAAAGCAGTATTTCCAAAATCGTTTATTTTCGATTATGAGAAAATGTGATCGATTGCTTGGTCATTTGGTCACTGCGACCAATCTTCGATTATTTCAATTAATCGGAACACCACTACAGTTAACTCCCGTGTCTAAGGAAGAACGCCTCCAACTTGCCTGAGGACAAATAGTGTGATGTATTTTCTCTGTCTTGATCAGGTCATCTGTTTTTTTATGTTTCTCATTTCTAACCTCTACCAGCCAGATATTTTTTAAGAAAATATTATAAAACATTTTTTTGACAAATTGTGGAACTTATCATGATGAAGACACAAGTTGATTCCCACATGTGTACAATGCGTGAAGCCCATTTGTGGAGATATTGCTGGAATAATGCTAAAAGCAGTGTAAAACGTAACTCACTCATTGCTTAAATATTGTAACTCAAAACAATTTTCTGTCCTCAGACAAGCAGATTGACCTTGCCAAGGCTGACTTCAAGAAACTCAAGGTCAAGGACCTGAAGAAAATACTGGAAGGGTGGGGTGAATCGTCTGCTTGCAAAGGATGTGCTGAAAAATCAGACTTTGTACGTGTCATCAAGGAACTGATGCCCAAATATGCACCAGAGGCTGCCAAGCAGAGAGAAGAGCTTTGATCACCGTGTCGTTTTAGAACTTGAATTTCATGAAAGGGTCATTTCAATTCATGTATAACACAGATTTGCATACATCTAAATAATACAACATAAATACTTTAGCTTTTTGTTGAAAGTGAAAGTTTATTAATATAAAAAAACAATTGAATTTTTTTTTTTATCATAGTATCTTGACTGCTAATAATTTCGGTGTGTCAAGGACAAAGTATGTTTTTGTCAAGTTCCCATACCCCCAAAACAGACAATCTTTTTCTTTATACGATTTTGTCAGATATTTTTTGGGGTTTGTGTTGTGGTACATGTTTTCATTAGTTGGGTATAGGTCTGGATTTGAATCCTGACCAGGGACAGTTCCTAAAAATATCGGTGTCCCAATTTATATGGTAATGGAGTTTGCTTTGAATTTCCATTTTTCTTACATGTTGCATTATTTAAATGTATGCACATACATCACCTAAGTTATTTTGTGATGACTTTGTGAACATGGAGCATATATGTTGATACTGTACATACTCGTTTTCATCATGTCCTTATCATCGATAATAGTCAATGGAGGTGTAACGATAGGGCAAGGCAATGATACAATGCGTTTCATGTGATATGCGTGCGATATGATTTGTATCCGATACGGTACTTTTATGTCATAAGTTAATATTATCTCCCCTTCTCCAGGTGAACCACAACCCTGAATCATGTATTTTCTAATCTCAGACAGCAAAGATGTGATATTATAGGGGTAAAACATATAAGCTTAGGGGCGACCTGTACAAATTTTGCTGTTTATATCCAACCAGGAAATACTTGAATCTGGTTCTTTGACGGTTCCTGTTATTATTCATGTTTTAATATTAGTATTTCTGGAATATATTGAATCATGTGTTTCAGTTGTAAATCGACATATTGTATCATGAAACTCATACCTCGATACAATGCTGTATTGCCGTATTGTTACACCACTAGACATGTTAGTTCATTTGACCACTCCAAATTTGAAATGAAACATCGCGAATTCTGTTTAAAAGCATGTTGCCCTCCTAGACTTGAACCATCTGTAAAACTGAAACGTTGTAGTTTGTGACCAATTCAGATTTAGAAATTAGTTTATCATTTCCATGAATTCAGTTAACACCATGATGTATATTCAAGCTGTTTCAACACAACAATGGCAATCTTCCGTTCATCTGCGTACATTAGCATGACATATCATTGGGCATCGTTTGTCAGGAAGGGCTAAGTGTTTTCGAGGGTAAGGGCTGTCTAATTTTCTGAGTTTAGCCTTCTGGTTAAAGGGTAGAAAAATGCAAAGAATTCATCGGAACTGTCTAATTTCTAATTCTAGATACCATAATATATTTACTTATTTAATATATTCTATTCTGTGATGCAACAGTAATAAACCAAACCTGCCAACACGTCTCATGTTTTAGTTAAAGTTTGTTTTAAACAACATATGCTTTAATCATCTCATATAGTATGTCACAGAACAACTAAAAGCATCCACTTATCCAAAGCATCTTAAAGGTGACGTACAATGCATGAAGCCCATTTCTGGTGTCCCCAGCATGATATTGCTGGATATTGCCAAAAGCGGCATAAAACCATCCTCACTCACTCACTCAAGGTGATGTATGTCCAAAGCTGTTGCTAGGTTGATGTCACAAGGCATTGTATTTTTCAGCTATTCCGCAGATGTAACATCACAGGGAATGTGAAGCATTTGTCACAGGTTTTACTATTAAGCTAATGTAAAGCATTTGTCAACTTTGGCTTGTCATGGTAGATCTTTTACTATTATGCTATATTTATAAAAGATATCAACTCTTCTTCTTGCACTGTTGTAAACATACAGCTGTATGTATTGATCTCTGTGTGAAGCACAGAAGTGGGACTTGCATGCAATGATAGGCCTGTTATTGGTACAAATCCAGATTCAAGCGTTGGACTTGGTCATGCCCTGATAGGGTCTGTCTGCTCCTTGCAGGACTTTGCCAAACATCTATGGCCTGCCTTTCATTCTACGTTAGTCCGACATGTCAGGGTACACCTAAAGTATGAAAAGAATCACTACTCACTATTGTAGTACTACAAAAGTTGATGGGCATTTCTGGTTATCTGGAGGGGGTGGTGGGGTAACCTTGTGTTTAAAGTGTTCACTTGCAACACCGAAGACCAGGGTTCGATTCCCCACATGGGTAATGTGTAAAGCCCATTTCTGGTGTGCCCCACGATAATGCTGGAATATTGCTAAAAGCGGCAAAAACTAAATTCACTCTGGTTACCTTACTCAAATTTCTTAGGGATTTAATGATTCCTTTCTTTGAACATTAAATTTTGCGAAAATATTAGCAAGGAAGATATGATTGGACCATAGCAGCTGAGGTGTTTAACAGTATGGGTGTTGAGTGTGTGATCGAAATATTAAATGTAAACATTGAATAGCTTCTCTTTACATTTGGATGTCGCTTTTGGTGAATTTGATTTTCAGCTTCCATGACTTAAGACTCATATATGCATATTTCATGAGACGTGCACACTTTATATTAAGATTGTCTTCTGAATGTCTGTTGCCAAGGTTACCAGAACATTCAATATTTAGAAAAGGTTTGATACCAAATACCTCTGTTCGAATATTTCTTTCTTTGATGTTATTATTTATTCATGATTTTCATTGCTGTTGGATCATTTTCTCATCGTCTCTTTGAGAACTACTTCATTGAGAATGTTTGGCAGTATTGTTGAAATTCAAAATGAGTTCATGTTGTCCATGTTCCTGAATGAGTACACGTGTAAATTGTGTATAGCTGTGTACTGGTGTAAATGTGTTAATAGAACTGGAAATATTACGCTGCATGTAAACGGGTGTAAGACAAGCACAAGTGAAAGAAAACAACTTATTTTGGGACATTAAACTTGTTAACTACTTGATGCGTCTCAGGTTTTATTTATCATGTTCAGGGTTGGTTGGTTGGTAGGTTTGTTTTACGCCACACACACCATTATTCCAGCTGTATGGCGGCAGTCTGTAAATAATCCAGACTGGACCAGACAGTCCAGTGATCAATAACATGAGTATTGATCTACGCAATTACGATATGATGACATGTGTCAATCAAGTGAGTCTGACCACCCATTCACCTCTTAAGACAAGTATGGGTTGCTGAAGACCAATTCTAACCTGAATTTTCACGGGTTACTCAGGGCTAACCTGACAGAAAATATTTGATGTTGTACTGTGATGGTTCTGGAAATTGGATGACTGGGAACGATTGGGCCTTCATGTTATAAATTCAGGTGTTATATATCCAAAATGGGACCAGCAATGGAAGCATGTTCTCTATGGAAATCTTCCTTTTCGACAGTCTTAGAAAATGAGGTGACTGATGATTGGGTGGTCAGGCTCACTGACTTGGTGGATGTATGTCAATGTATCCCAACTGCACCAGGGATGGCAACATGAAAATCTATTTTCAGCGGAAAACTTAATATGATGTCATCAAATGGGGGTTCAGGGGGCGATTTTTAAAATAAACAAGTGTTTGCCACTGATATGGCAATGTCCCCCGCCGCTAAAGAATGGAATAACTATATTTACTACCTTTTTTTTTTTGGTCACATACAAGATGCCAGAAATGACTGGTGTCTGCATAATCACCCAATGTAGGCTGTCATAATTGAAAAAATTGGGTGCAATGTTTTATGAGATATCGCGTTTGAAAAGCTGTCAAAGTGTCATGGTGACCTTGAAGATAAAGTCAAGGTCACCCACATCGGATGGTGTCGGCATAATCCCCAACGTAGGCTTGTTACCAAATTTGAAGACATTGGGTGCAACAGTCCATGAGATATCACGTTAACAAGAGTTTGAAAAGTGTTCAAAGTGTCCTGGTGGCCTTGAATATAAGGTCAAGGTCACCAAATTCGACTGCATAATTCCCCCAATGTAGGCTGTCACCAAATTTGAAGACATTGGCTACAACAGTTCATGAGATATCTCATTAACAAGAATTGGGACGGACGGACGGATGCCGCTGAATACATAGTTCCGCGCTGCGGTGGGGAAAAAAAATCAGTGTAAATCAACCAATCGACAGAAAATTGCCATCCCGGCAGTTGCAGAGATTGATGTCAATCACTGGATTGTCTGAGGGAGATTTAAGGGCTGGCTAGATAGCAAATTTTTTTGTACTAGCATTTACAAATGCTGCATGGCTGGTGTTCGATTCCCCCACATAGGTACACTGTGTGAAGCTTATTTCTGGTGCCCTGCTTCAATATTGCTGGAATGGGCATAATACCATACTTGTTCACTTTAATGCAAAGAAGTTAATTTAACACCAATCATATACTCCTGGAGGTTGGAGAAAATGTCAGTTTGACTCAGGACATTTTAGTCTGCGTGTGCCACATACATCTTCATTTTGCTGTGCAGACTTGCATCTCTTTGACACACTAGAAACCTGTGAATGTTCACCCCTTTTGTGTTTGATGGACTGACATACCCATGTTTGTGTTTAACCAAACTGGTAAACTTGAGACTGCATCACTTAAGGCTTGCCGCCGACAAGTTGACAATATGGGCTTTGACTAGAGTACTGTTCAAGACCATTGAATCCAACTCACTCATGGAGTGTTGGGGGTTGACTTTCTAGGATTTTGCATGAAATATCATCAACTTCGATATGAGAGGTGACGTGAGGTTCAAAATCACTGTATAGACTATTGCACTTGTGTGTCCTAGTAAAGATTTATGCTGGTTTCATACTGCTAGCCTTCTGAGACACCATGAATTAATGAAGCTTACTATGAATACCACTCACACACAATATACTAACTCAGGGTTGATAAGAGTATTGTACCAGGCAGGGTAACAGCAACTATCATGTTTTGGTATGATTCAGGATCTATTCCCTACTCAGGGTTGATAAGAGTATTGTAGCAGGCAGGGTAACAACAACTAACATGTTTTGGTATGATTCAGGATCTATTCCCTACTCACACACAATATACTAACTCAGGGTTGATAAGAGTATTGTAGCAGGCAGGGTAACAACAACTAACATGTTTTGGTATGATTCAGGATCTATTCCCTACTCAGGCAGACACTCAGCCTACTGGACCACATAATCCATCCCCAGCAGTTTCAGGCTGATTGAGTGAGTGAGTTAATATTTAATGTCACATTGGCAATATCTCAGCCATATTGTGACGAAAACAATTTATACAATAAAAATGAAAACATTTTGAAGAGAAAAACCTGTCAATCATAAACGGTTTCAGACTGAAGGCTTCTAACAATTTATGATCAATTGTCAGTCAGCTCCACGTTTATATATCCTTCAGCTAGTGAAAAACTGTTCAGTGGAGATTAAAACTCAACTCACACCATTTCACCAAGATGAGTCCAAAGGTGGAGATATATTTACCCAGAATAAGTTACTCATAATCTTTGGAAGTATTTGTGGGAACGTCTTCATGACCAATTGTCTTGTTTGGACATATTTGGTTTATTTGTAACATAGATTATTCATGGGATATACATACAGGAAGTTACCCAACCTAATCAAACTAACGGACATGAGCGTCACAACATCATGCATCTGATCAGACATGAGTGTGTGAGGTAACAGCTCGGAAAAGCAATGCTGAGCACAATTCAACTGGATACAAAAACAACAAACATTTTTGCAGTACACATTTGGAATCAGAATATAATATATTTATTTAGCATTTCAAAGTATGACAAGCAAAATGCAACATGTCATCTAATTCAACATGCTCTTCACCATATTATTTCAAACAGATGTACTGTCATCCAAAAGTAACAAAACATTATATAATTACCTTCCATTTAAAAAAATCATACTGCATTGACTTCATTGATGTAAGAAAGACTAAGTCTCAAAACAAGAAAGGAACACTACTGAGACTAAACTAAACCATGCAAAAAATTAATGAATGTTGTTTTATTACCCGTTTGATTGGCATTTAGAAGTTGGTGACTAATAAGTATTACCCATTCAGAAATATTCCATCCAATCCCAGTGTTGATAATGAAGTCTTGGCCAGGAAAACAAGACCGTCAGGGCATGATTTCAACCATGTCAACACTGAACACAGGTCCTCACTGGAAGTACTTACAATCATGGAATACTGGTGACCATGGACTAATGCTTAGCCTCTGAAATTATATAATGTTGATTATAAGAAATAAACCCATTTAAATTGAAAAGGAGCCCAAGGGAGACCAGAGGTTCAGATTGAACTTCGGGAAATCTAGACATGCTTCATTTATAGGGCTTTAGCATTGCAGGGAGGGCAAGGCTGTAGGGAAAATAATATGGTTCAGGGACTGTGAGACAGACTATGGTGACCACTACAGTGGGCCATGCAGTTGAGGCACACTGTCACACAATCAGCCAAGTCCCAACTTAACACAGGTCCTCCCAGCACTTACAATCTTGGAGTACTGGTGGACAGTGATCGTCATGAGGTCAAGGCACACTGTCACACAATCAGCCAAGTCCCAACTTAACACAGGTCCTCCCAGCACTTACAATCTTGGAGTACTGGTGGACAGTGATCGTCATGAGGTCAGGGCACACTGTCACACAATCAGCCAAGTCCCAACTTAACACAGGTCCTCCCAGCACTTACAATCTTGGAGTACTAGTGGACAGTGATCGTCATGAGGTCAGGGCACACTGTCACACAATCAGCCAAGTCCCAACTTAACACAGGTCCTCCCAGCACTTACAATCTTGGAGTACTGGTGGACAGTGATCGTCATGAGGTCAGGGCACACTGTCACACAATCAGCCAAGTCCCAACTTAACACAGGTCCTCCCAGCACTTACAATCTTGGAGTACTGGTGGACAGTGATCGTCATGAGGTCAAGGCACACTGTCACACAATCAGCCAAGTCCCAACTTAACACAGGTCCTCCCAGCACTTACAATCTTGGAGTACTAGTGGACAGTGATCGTCATGAGGTCAAGGCACACTGTCACACAATCAGCCAAGTCCCAACTTAACACAGGTCCTCCCAGCACTTACAATCTTGGAGTACTGGTGGACAGTGATCGTCCATGAGGTCAGGGCACACTGTCACACAATCTGCCAAGTCCCAACTTAACACAGGTCCTCCCAGCACTTACAATCTTGGAGTACTGGTGGACAGTGATCGTCATGAGGTCAGGGCACACTGTCACACAATCAGCCAAGTCCCAACTTAACACAGGTCCTCCCAGCACTTACAATCTTGGAGTACTGGTGGACAGTGATCGTCATGAGGTCAGGGCACACTGTCACACAATCAGCCAAGTCCCAACTTAACACAGGTCCTCCCAGCACTTACAATCTTGGAGTACTGGTGGACAGTGATCGTCATGAGGTCAGGGCACACTGTCACACAATCAGCCAAGTCCCAACTTAACACAGGTCCTCCCAGCACTTACAATCTTGGAGTACTGGTGGACAGTGATCGTCATGAGGTCAGGGCACACTGTCACACAATCTGCCAGTCGCATCTAAACACTGGTCCTTCCTGGAAGGCTTCTAACTTACTCATGCAAGTACTTATAATAATGGAGTACTGCTGGCAATTGAAGTACTATGGAGAAGTACTATCAGCCAAGTCACAACTGAACAAAGGTCCTCACTGGAAGTACCTACAATCTTGGAGTACTGGCTAGCTATTCTCCAAACGTTCGTAGCCGTAAGAACTTCTTAAGCCCATTCTTAACACATTGGCTACGATCAAAGTTAAGAATTCTTAGGGATATGAACGTTTCGAGAATAGGGGCCCTGGTCACTGGAAGTGTCACAAAGTCAAGTCACATATAACATCATTATAATCACACAATCATTCCTAGCTGACAATCCCTAAATAAAATGGACATGTTTTGTAAACAAAAGGGGATTCAGATATTTAGCACATAACATCAACAAAAATTAGATCAAATCAATGCACTGTTATCTCAAGAACAGTCTACCACCTTCACCAACACAAACCAAGCTGCAGTCCAGTCATTACCTAAATATGTCAAGAATACATGCATAGCATCACAGTCTGTGCCAAAAGCAGTACATGCAGGTTAAACTTTCCATCCACAAGGAGTGAGTTTAGTTTTACGCCGCACTCAGCAATATTCCAACTATATGGCGGCGGTCTGTAAATAATCGAGTCTGGACCAGACAATCCAGTGATCAACAGCATGAGCATTGATCTGTGCAATTGGGAACCGATGACATGTGTCAACCACGTCAGCGAGTCTGACCAATCCCGTAAGTCGCCTCTCACGACAAGCATGGGTTACTGAAGATCAATTCTAACCCACCATCCACACAGAAAATATCACAGTTGCGTCCCCTACGTCATCATCATATTTCACAACCAAGATGTATGGTGACATATTTATGTTTGGATTACTAACAAAACAGTCCTGATCATGATTTAGAAGCAACCCATGAATAAATGTGCAGCTTTGTGTTATGTAGGAGTAAACTAACACTTTATTTCATCATGATATTTAATGCACAATATCATCAATGACACAGTTTTCATATTGATAACTAATAATACTTCTTTCCATGACAATATTTCTTTATCATTCTTTTAGCCAGCCCTTTTGGTACATTGTGTAATCATAGCTTTCGGCCTTGGGAGCCATGCCAATTTACACTTATCAGAGGGGTACACAAAGTCTGTGATCTGACCAGTTGTCCAACTTCCATTTTCGTGGAAGCTGCAGTGGGTGAGTTGGTTAGATGTCTCACTTCGTGCACTCGTGATTAGGTGCCTGACTCTGAGAGTGTGGGTTCGAATCCCGGATGGGTCTCAACCCAACAAAAGTACTAGATTCTGTACTTTACTGAAAAAGTGTAATCCCAAATATAACATCTGTTGCCAATAAGTTACAATTTTTTTTCTAATCTGCTGAGACTAAATTTACTGCATTGATGCTGGACAAATCCATGCCGAAAGTTGCAAAATTGTATTAAAGTTAATTTAACATACTATATATCTAATTACTGGAGCCCTGTAAAATCCATGCACTGACAGAGATAAGTAATTGTATTATTGATTGATCCCAGCTGTGACATCAACATGCTACAAAGGTCTGCGTAAACAACAGCAGTTGGTGCTAGAAGTTCTCAAATTTCATTTAATAATATTCCTTAGTCAATCAGGATTCAGATAAAATTTCAACATTTTTCTTCCCGCGTGAATATATAACAGGTGCATGATATGTTCAAAGGTGTATTTTTGATGATATAGACTACAGAATCAGATGCAGGATATCTGGGAAATTTGGTTCTTAGGACAAAATGTGAGCCAACGGAAGTTTCCAGATCAGCGAGGCTGTACTGTACACAGTGTGCGAAATAGTTTCCAAATTTTCCTAGCTAGCCAGGCTAGCTATGCCTGAAAGTTACTTGCCCACACAATAATTCACTAGCCCAAAATTTGAATGTAGGATTTAAGCCAAAGATTACAAAAACGTAAAATACAATCATTTATCAGGCTACAATCTTGCATGATTTAAAAGTGTAACTTAACAAGTTGGGAGAGTGATATATTTAAAAAACAACCCTATGAAAATTCACTAGCTCGTCGAGCCAGTGACTGTGGAGATTTACTGGCCCAACTGGATTTTTTACTAGCTACAGGCTAGCGGGCCAGTGGTAATTTCACATACTGAGTGTACAAGGCTGTACATATGTATTCTGACTGATCAATCATGTCTACAACCGCCCACCTTTCAGCTGATTGTAATTCAAATATGAATAAAGAACAAGAAGAGAGTTGTACCACCAATTTTCTTTACCTTTCGAACTCATGTAGATCTCCAATTAAGAAAAACCTTCCATGAAATGTATGACACATTTATGACACTTGCTTTCTAGACTTTTAAAAATATCACTTAGTAATTTGGAAACTGAACAGAAGAAAGTGCTTGAATGTGTGATAGGTACTGGCAAAAGGGAAGATTTCCTTTCTGAGTGTTAACGTTTCTGAGGTTGCATCCATTGGGAAGCCCATTCCAACTGTCCCTGTCTTGATCTGAGAAAAGATTAGGTTGGATGAAGGTGATCTGTAACGTAGTCTGTCATTCAATGCCCTGTCAGTGGTTGTGAGAACTAAGATCTGATTCTAACAAGATTGCAGTTTCTTTTTCCTCAGATGAATGAGTGTACAGTACGGAGCTGGTGTATGGCAGTCTCTTATCACCAGGATCCAGAGGCAACAGCACTGTATATAATAGAGGATGCATCCTTTGTGGACATCAGAACATTTCCTCAGACAGCTGGGAGAGAAGTTCATCGCTCAAGTCTGAAAGACAAATACAAAATGAATAAACTATATTTTCAGCCTGGTGGATTTAAAATCAAGTGTTGACATCACAATCAGTGATGAAGACTGAAAGTGAAAGGTTTAACCTATATAGATGATATTTTGAGCTTATGGTCTGGCTTAAAGATCACATATACTCTAGGGGGGTACAAATACATAAATCACTAACTGGCATCGCTATAAATGAAACCCCGTCATTAAAACTACTCACTTTGATCTTTAATCAACTTAAATCGACCTTTTTGACAACAGTGCACAATTCTCACCCGCGAACGAAATTTCAACCAATCAGAGTGGGGCCTCCCCGTGACGTCATATGAGGAATAGATATGAGGGCTGATGCAGAATTCATCTACATTTCAGGGGGTAAATTATCTTGTTTACAGGTTTGTATAAACCTGAAATCGTGACAACTGTTGTGGAAAATGAAAGCTATATGTTCTCACAATCTACTGTCATATAATTTTGTCTCCTGCTTTGCCTAGTTTCCGAGTTGCAACTTGTTTTCATAGGCGATTCTGTCAAAATCGCTTGGTGTCATTAGGCCTTATTTGTATAATGACTGATCCAATTTGATCCCATTTCTGTGTTTTTTTACCTCGATATTTAATCATGTCATGTAAAAATATGACATCTATTACGTATGATATTGAAAATTGACATTTGATTTATTTGAATCGGTAAACTAAACAACCCTATTTTGCCATTGCTAGAAGAATCTGAAATCTGAAATTTTAAATAGGTACATACAGGTTTAACACACAGCAAATGCTTATATGTATTTCTTATGCAACAATGAAGTTCTGTTTGTATTCTCAAAACAGTGTCGGCCCATAACTTTTCACATGCAATTAAAATTGCATGCAATACAGCAATTAATATTCCCTCGTTGTAACCCGTGTTAGGTGGTATAAACCTACACATGTTATTTGTCATCATTCACTTGATGGTCAGTTAATGAATTTATAACAGGTATAATTAGGGGTAAAAGGTAGTGTTTATGTATGTAAATTTACTAATACTGAATACACTCTGTCGTGTCTGTGTCTGCGTAAAAACAACGTCCTTCCTTCAAAGGATTAACCGCCAATACAGTGATTGATTGCTCAATATTGGCTAACTAAATTACCGTTTTTAAAGAATGGCGGACATTATGCAATCAGTTGCCAGGTGTGCTATCTTGGGTGACCAATGAGACTATACACCAATGTGAAATACCTGAAACGATATATCACTTTTTCGTATACTAGACTGTTAAAAGACACATTACTTGGAACAGCTGCAGATGAATGGCATATCACTCATTTTTGTGGATATTGATGGATACATTCCTTGAACAAGGTAATAGCCTGACATTGTTCCTATCAATTTAATCTGTTTTAATTTTAATATTTGCATTTTGTTTTTATTCATTTGTCGTAGCATTCAACAGAATCGTTGTTTTCGCCGTGAAGTGTAATGAGACATACACTAGGGCGTGTGTGCGAATCATCATTCACATTGGCAAACTATAAAGTGTCTAGATATTACAGTCCTGTTATAAATGCACTATAAGTATCAGCAGATCGTCTGCTTTTTATTTAGTTTCAAAATGCATACAAGTATGATAATAAACTAATTAGGATTATAAGACCAAATATAAAGACGTACATTGACTAGTATCTACATACTGGTGAGTGCACGTTAACCACGTGAATGTAGCAAGAACTTTATCGTGCAGTATTGTCATTTCGACCCCCCACCTTGCTTCCGTGGAAGAAATCGTTATGTTATAAGTTGTGTCATGCAAAATGCTTTTGGTTATGATTCAAATACATATTTAACTACGAGTAGAAAGTAGTTTTGATTTTCTAACTTGATGAAAACAAACCATAATCTCATTAATATTCTAACAGACTTTAGCCCGTGACTTCACGATTTTCAAAAATGGCGGCCCCCTGTTGCGAACATCTGCCAGTCTGAGCATAAATGCTATTTAGGTTTATTTTCACCGACTTACAAAATCAAAACTACTTTCTACTGGTAGTAAAATATGTATTTGATTGATGGCCAATAGGATTTTGCATGACATAGCGTATAACATAACAATTTCTCTCGTGGAAGCGAGGTGGGTGTCAATATAATACTACTTACAGTATTATTGTTACTTCGACCACAACCGCTTTCTGAGGCAGAAATCGTTATGTTACAAGTTGTGTCTGGAAAATCTTTATGGTCATCAATCATATCCATATTTTACTATGACTAGTAAGTAGTTTTGATTCTTTAACTTCTGTGAAGCGATCTGAACACAAGTAAGATATCGTTTCAGACTTCCACAACGCTCGCTTCGCACTCACAAACATAACCCATTTTGCACAAACTGCGGGGTCCTGTGGAAATCTGTGCATGGCGACACCATCGCCCGACCTCTAGGAACAATTGACGACAACGCAACGATTTGGCATGTCGTCGCTGATGTCGAGAAATCATCAAAATGACGAGCTTGCTACACACTTTCTATACAACTAACTGAAAATCCTTCCTCATATGACATCACTGCAGTGCTCTGGCGACAGAGTTACGTAACCTGTCTGTGGTTTCGTTGGCGGGCGAGAGTGAAGCAGGCGACTTTTTGGCAACTTTTAATCGTTTTTAAAGAATGAATTTAGTGTTCCGCATAAGACTGACCACAAATCTTTCATATGTAATAGTTAAAAGAGTAAAAAAAACCAAAGTTTATTTGTTCTTTAATCCTTAACTTTTATCATAAGGCCAGGACTAAGGCAGTCACACTCCGGCGCAGTGATGACTTAGCATAACATCACTGCCACAGGCTAATTTGCATATCACGTGACCGGACTTTTCTCATGTTTGTAAACATACTCGCATATTCATAATAAGAAGAGACTGGCCTTACGCAAGCTTTTCGGCGCGCTCTTCACAATGTTTTACATTGTTACATATATATTCTTCCACAACTGCGACAGTTAGGTCTATGACAGTACATATTTAGATATCAAACTGGCTGCATCATTTGCTCTCCATCAGCTTCGATAACAGCACGTGGATCCGTACAACCTATGTAAACAAAGGATCGCTACGCAAATCGAAATAGTGTTACATGTTTTAGGATATTTTCTCAGTGAAACTAAACCATTCTATCAAAGATGTTTAATTAGATGTGCAGACTCATCAAAATAAAAGAGTTGAGAAATATGTAAATTATATTGAATGGACGGTGCAAGATGTGACGAATCGTCACATCTTTCTGGCCTGTGGCAGAGATACTATGCTGGCTTGCCGCATGGAACTCTGGGTAGGAGGGTGTAAGGCAGTTAGACCATTTGACATTCATGATTTCAATGATGAGTGTTGAATCAATCTTGTCCCAATCTCATGCCTGACAGTAAGTTATGTATGTAACATACATAGGCCACATAAAAAAATGTTCTGGTTCCGACCTCTTTAAAATTTAGAGTAGGAAGGTCGGAATTTAAACAAAAAATTATTTTACATATTTTATTATAGAAGTAAAGTACAATCTAACACATTTATTAATGTGAAATTGTTTATTCAATCAAGCTTACGCCCTCATATCGACTTTCTCTATCAGAATGACCGATATCTGTTGGTGCCGGGAAAAACACAATGGGATCTGATTGCATATTTTAATCATTCCGCTTAAAAAACCAGGGTCGGCACCAGAATTCAAGGGTTGGTCAGGTAATCGACTAATCGGAACCACAACATTTTTTTGTTAGCCATAGTATTGTTTTACAGAAAACTTGCAGTCCATCTACATTCATACGATTGGTCATTTTTTAACCTTGCACATCTGTAGCTGGCCAGTTAAGATCTGCGTTAAACTTGCTCTTCAGCAAGCCATGCTTGTTGTAAGAGAAGTCTAACTCTTTAACTTTTAACATTATGACTATGACCAAGACAATTAGAACCCTTGACATCCATGCTAAATTTTTTACAGAACAAATCAAATAAACTTGTTCTGATTGTTACAGTCCTGTTCCACTAAGATCTTAGTTAAACAACTACAACAAGTCAATGTTTCGGTACAGGAATTACCACCTTAGTCCTCAGATCTGTTTTATGAGAGGTGTTCCAAATGTATTTGTCAGATTATTTAGCATGAAAATTTAACAATAAATTGTGTATTAATGAGTAGTTATCCCACCTCACATTCTCTTCTTTCGATCCCTGAGTTGAAACTCTGCCTGAACTGTTTTTTGCTAAAAAGGTCACTATTCTCACCCTTAAAGCATCTCAGCTGTTGTCATGGAGACACTGATAACTAAGCAAGCTCCTGAATCAAATGCACCTATTGTCTCTTTGGCCTACCTCTGTAACTCATTCTCTTTCGAAGCAGGAGTGTTGGGGGTAGCCTAGTGGTTAAAGCGTTTGCTCGTCACGCCGAAGACCTGGGTTTGATTCCCCACATGGGCACATTGTGTGCAGCCCATTTCTGGTGATATTATTAAAAGCGGCATAAAAATCTACTCGCTCACTCACTCTTTGTAAGTGTAACCAGGCTTGAGTACAGGGAAATTGGGATAGAAGGGTATGCTGTTGTGTGAGATAGGAAAAGTATGCATAAAAACACAATTCATTGCAAAATGTTCAAATCTGAAGAATAAAATCCCCAACCTCATTTAATCTCACACTGTGCATTTTTGAAAGCCACGAGGAAGCTGGTTCCAAATGAGGTCTAGAATATCACAATATCTAGAGAGAACTCATGAAGTGGTATGATTGGATCGCCAGAGACACCAGAGACCTCATATTTCTGTAAGTCATCCCTCTTAAATTATAACGACTGTGTGATCATGAAATAGGTGAGCCCAGATAAATTACAACCTATTATCCACCCACGGACACTTAGGTCTGGTTAGTATGGTACCTGAACAGTCCTATCCAGAATACATTTCCAGACACAATACAAAAGGCAAAAAGGGGGGGGAGTTTGGTATCTCTTTTTTAATCTATCAGCATGCATGATCAGTTGTTAAAGTCACAATAAGTAGTGTGTGAGTGAGCGAGTGAGTATGGTTTTACGCCGCTTTTAGCAAATATTCCAGCAATATCACTGCAGGGGACACCAGAAATGTGCTTCACACATTGTACACATGTGGGGAATCGAACCGGGGTCTTCGGCGTGACGAGCGAACACGTTAATCACTAGGCTACCCCACCGCCCCTCACTACAAGGAAAGGATAACATTCAACAACCCATAATTTGACTCTCAGGTCTGACTGGTGGAGTTCTTCATACTGGACCAGGCACAGTTTGTTTAAGGATGCAATGAGAGGAGGTGACAATGTTACTTCACAGTTCTTCATATCCATAACAACTTCTAGGCATTGAGATACAAATTTTTTGACACTCGTGAAAGTCTTCCAGTTTATTGATGTTGAACATTTATCAAAGTAATCTTGGATGAGTTGATCAGGACTAGGAACACCACTACAGAAATAACAAGGCAATGAGAGTGAGTGAGTGAGTGAGTGAGTGAGTGAGTAAGAATGGTTTTATGCCGTTTTTAGCAATATTCGAGCAATATCACGGTGGGGGACACCAGAAATGGGCTTCACACAATGTGCCCATGTGGGGATTCGAACCCGGGTCTTCGGCATGATGAGAAAACGCTTTAACCACTAGGCTACCCCACCACCCCAGGCAATGAGAGTCTAGAGTTTACATTATTTCATTATGTACATGCTATGATACCAACTGCAGCAAGATACCATATAGTGGTGATTCATCAGTGCTGGAGGGCTGAAGTTGGGGGGATCAGGAAGAGAGAAAACATTTTCCATCACTTCATGAAGCACTGGGGCATTATCTGATAGGATCATCAGTTGACATGGCATCAGAATTTGTGGCCCATGGTCAACAGCTAGGATTGCTCCTTTGAATAACAAATTGTTGAAATGAAGACTTTGTTCTTGTAGATGCTTCCTGCACTGTTTGGTGAAGCATTGATGAAGCTGCATGGGGACAACAGCATTGAGGAAACTCCTTCGCAAACATTTGATTATTGCAGCAACCAAAGGCTGGCAAATGAAGCTCAGGATGGGACCTAACATCGCTATAGATCTAGCACTGTACTTACCATGGCTGGCCGAACTGTCCCGAGTCCACTTAGTCAAGGTAAGTGAAGGCGTTGCTAATACAGGTAGTCACTAACCATCTGATGCGTGCGTCCGTCTGTACAAAGTGGATGTCCAAAATTATCCAATTGACTGCAAAACTCCAAAGTCTTCTGCCTTCAGGGGTGCTCTACAAAGGCACAACTGGGGGCGGAAGGTCCCAATCATCCTTGAACTTGGCCAAGTCACAAGGCAGAGGATTCAGGAGGCCTTGCTGACTCTTCATTAACAACAAGTTCTCGAGTTCCCGGCCACATAAAGGATTATACTGTCAGCAGTTGAATCTGAGTGAGATGGGTATATGAACAGTTATTTCAGACACACTGATTGTCCTCCAGATTGGTTTATGCAGATCAACAGAAATCTGTAGTTGAGTGTCTCAAGTACATCTTTTGAAATGAGTGGATGTGGATGTGGATGTGGATGTGGATGGCAAAGAGGAACCACAGGTGCTGATAAGAGTTTAACCATGAATTTGTCTTCCAAAGGGAAAGAAGGAAGAACTCCTCTTCCTGTAAGAGCTAAGAAGTGATAGAGGAGATCCATAACTTGGACCTTCTCATGGATTAAGGCGATGACACCCTGATGTGTGCTTCTCCTGTGGTCTTGGATTAGGCAACAGCCATGGCGTTCACTCCCAAAGTAGACAGCATTGCAGATCGAAAGGGTAAAATCAAGGTGGGCCAACTCATGATGATCAATGACATGTACAAGAGTCTATCCATCCAGATCGGAAGAGCCACTGAGATCCTACCCATTGGTGCTGGTATTCTTGAAGGAGACTTTCTGATTCTTAAGTCTATCTTTTCACTTTGCTGTGCTTGTGAATTTGATTCTTGATGTCTGTTTGTTGCAGGACATGATCTAACAGTGGGAGTGATAGGTGTCAAGGGGATAGATTTATCTGGAAATAGCCTTCGATTCTGCAGAATTCTTTCACAGGTGTGGCTTGAGACTGGATGTCACTGGAAGATAGGTGAGATGACTGAAACCTGAAATCTACCTGGGTAGGATCAGCCGATTGTGATAAAGAATTGTATGATCCTTCTGACTGTGTGAGGCAGACTGTAGAAGGCTTATTGTGCCTTCGATCTTGCTCCTGGTTGTAGTTTCTTCTAGAGTAATCCCTATATCTGTAGCTGATGTAACGATCTCTAAGAGTATTGTGTGATCTCGAGGTGTAATGGGATCTGTAAGGTGAATGTTGATCCTGATCCCGGCTATATGATCGCGTCTGCAATCGTCTTGGTGGGATGAATGTTGACGACACCTACACTCTCCCCGATTCACGGAGGACGATCGATAAGGACAAATAAGATTCCTCTGATCCACTATGTTGGAAGACTGTCTAGAGTCCTGACCTTGATCTCTACTTCTGAATCTGTTCCGATCAAAAGGAGATCGTCTGAGGGTTCGATGATCTCGATCTCTATTCTCCTGTCTCACGGACAAGTCATGATGGGAGCGTCTACATGATCGGCTGAGTAGGATCCCTGTCTCTTGAGTAATGATAGTCTAGGCTGGATGATCTGTGATCAAAAGTTCTGTCTCTTTGAGTTTCAGGACAATCAAAGGGAATGGAGATCGTTTCTAGCGGTGGATCTTCTGCAATCTGCTGACATACAGGGGGTTTCTCTACTACAGATCGAGAACCTTTACGCATGTCCCCATGGACATCAGTTGGCAGTGTCGCTGTTTCCAATGATATGATATGCCCTTTATCTCCAGTAGAGGTGGAGGATTTTACTGCTGCTACAACCAGAGACCATGGTCTGGACGAACCTCTAGACGTTAAATCTTCTTTAAGGAAAGAATTTGAAGCTTCATCCAAGTTAATAGTATGGACAGCAGACAGAGCTTTAGCGGTAGCTGTACTACCATTGGAATGGAAGATGACATCTCTCTCAGGATTCTTGACAGACTGTGGACCATTTTCTGTGGACCTTGATTTAAACCGTCTGTAACTATTCCTCCTCTCACATTCACGCAGGTAGGAGTAAAAATCGGAGGAAGACAGGTCCCTACACTTGCTGCATCTGGCAGTTTCTTTGCACCTGCCACGGCAGTCACAACACTTATTGTGTGGATCAAGCGAAGAAAGAGTCTGTTTGCACCGATCACAAACTTTGCGTTTTCTATTGTCCATAATGTGACAGAAATCTTGAATGATAGGAACAGAAAAACGCCAAATCTATTCTCTTCAGAGTCAGAGAGGTCTTCCGTCAATGGCGTTTAGGAAGAGAATGAGTTACAGAGGCAGGCAGGAGCAGTCAATAGATGCACGTGATTCAGAAGTTTGCTGAGTTATCGGTTTTACAGGTCTCTCAATGTCAACACCTGTGATGTGTTTGGCTGAGGTACTTTTCTAAAGCTTTTTTGAACATAAGAGTGTCAGTCTGAGAAACGTTTTAGAACATTTTTAATTTATACAAATATAGCCACTACTACATCTACACATCATCTGTATTGATTTTCATATGCTAAAAAATATCCGTAATTTATTTTGAAAAAAATGAATAAAAGCAATATTGAAGGCAAAAATCATTTGTTGTTGACAAAAACAAGATCAATGAACAAATGAATATGTGTCTATATTATTATGATTAAACATCAATAACCACAGTGAGATGTATTAATTTTTGAAAATGTTGCTGAGTTATCACAATGCATGTAACATCCTGATATTAACAACATTAACATGATTAATTGTAAAAAAATATTGTCACCAATGTGCTGACTATTGCTAAACTTCAAAATCCATACTAGCTGCAAACAGTTTCATTTCAGAACTTTGCCAGACTGATTTGGGTGAAGCTGCATTCATTTTACCGCTTATGTGTGCCTCAATTCCGCCTCAGTTATTATGCAATATTTGTCACCATGTGTGATGGGTGATAGCTTTCCTTCTAATACAAAATACTTTCAGTTTCACATAAAATAACACACTAGAAACATAAGTGAGTGAGCAAATTTAGTTTCATGCAGCTTTTAGCAATATTCCAGCAATATCACCAGACATGGGCTTCACAAATTGTACCCATGCAGGGAATCGAACCTGGGTCCTGAGCGTGACGAGTGAACACATTAACCACTACGCTACATCACTGCCCCCTTAAAACACAAACATCTGTCTGTAACCTTCACATGCTGGTATGACTACATTGGCATCAGAGTGAGTGAGTGAGTTTAGTTTTATGCCGCTTTTCGCAATATTCCAGCAATATGGGCTTCACACACTGTACCCAGGCGGGGAATCGAACGCATGTCTTCGGCGTAACGAGCAAACGCTTTAACCACTAGGCTAAAGTCCTAAGTTTGTATATTGTGTTAGACAATAAAAACTATTTTCCACCTTTAAAAGTAAATGTACGAGATCATTGATGACACAATTTTCATATCAATAATCATTAATAAGTTTTCATATTGACGATATTTCTGATTATCGATCATTTTAGCAAGCCTTAGTCCTTACCTAAAAGACACAATGTTCAAAGAAACAATACATATTCCATATATAGAACATAAAGGCACTGTGTAGTTTGTGATCATAGAAAAATACTCACCATCTCCCCACAAATCAGAACCATCCACAGCCACTCCACTCACAGGGTTGCAAACACCAACAAGGGAGGTAACTCCATTAGAACCACCACTTTTCATAGCTCCAACAGAAGACCTCTGAGCTGTCACTGTGTTAGATGTAAGTGAACCTACACCATTACCAGGCACATGGACCTTGTCAGTTGTCCCACTTGACGTCACTGTTGAACAAGATGCTCCGTTGCTGGAGCCCACAGGTTTCCAGTTGGAAGTTACAGACCCACCTTGTGAGGAGTTCCTTTGACTTGTATCACAAACAGCAGACTTTGTCCGACTTAATTGAGGACTTGCTCCAAGGCCTGGTGAATCAGTGACACTTTTACTGACATTCTTAAAACAAAATTTCCTTGTTGGAGTCATCGGATTATTTGGAGAACCAACACATTTATCGTTGGCAGCCACACACGGTCTTCTCCCAGCAGTACTAACTCCATCAATCACACTCCCAGGAGAAGCATAGGATTGTCTAGAAGGGGTGGTCTGTCTCAAGGAAGTACCCTGCAATGGAGTTCGGAATGGAGTTGTCCCCTGGCGTGGCATGTCCGCTTGACCATTGAGGTATGGAACAGCTGCTTCCTTGCATTCTTGGTACAGTTTTGTTTTCAGGAGACACTCTGAGCATGTTTGGCGTACTTGGTTGCTGTAGTGCCATCATGTTGGCTGATTGGATGATGTCCATCAGACATGCCCGATATTCTGAAACCTCATCTTGAGATCTAGTTACTCGATGTGGATACAGGTGGACGATGTTTTTCGGAGTAATGTTCAGGTAATGTGTCCTACATGTTGGGCTGACGACACTCACCTGAAAACAAATTACATGTTCATTGGATGTCTTCACTGATATTCACTCGTATCTACAGTATGTAGTGACCAAGGTTTTTGATATTTACTGTTTTGATGAAACTTAAAAGCATGTGAATGGTTCTGACAAATCTAGAAACATCAAGAGGGCAACTAGGAAACTCAAGAGGGCAACTGGACTCAAACCCACAATCACTGTTTCCTGGGAAGCATAAGGGATGCAACTGTGCACAGAACCTTGCGAAACCTTGGATGCCAGGGCCAGGCCTGACTTTCAGATTTTATGAGAATTTGAATGTTGGTAGAGTGCACATATACTAATAACACACTGAGAACCATCATAACCAGGTGTAAGCTTCAATTTCACATCTCCCCTATCCTAAAGTCACTGCATTGGCTGAGAATTCTCGAGAGAATTGACTAAAGATTCTATCTTTAGTTTACCGGTCTCTTCACAAAACAGCCCCTTCCTATCTTCAGGTGTTTGTCCACAACACACCCTCTAGAAATCTCTGATCAACTGCTTTTGACCTGGACTGTACCAGAATATGAACTGAAATCTTTCGGTGCTTGATCCTTCTCTCATGCAGCTGCTTTATTCTGGAACTCTCCCATTGAACCTCAAGAGTGCACCTATGATATCTGTGTTTAAATCTGGACTAAAAACACACTTCCGACACTACCACTAACTGTCTTTACTGTTGTCTGTCTTCTGTACATATGCTATGACGAGCTTGAGCATGTCCCTCAGTGATATGGAACTAGTGCTATATAAATATCCTTAACCTACATAAGTTCCCTTGCACCAGGTGAGGTATTTATAATCATCACCTGTCTGAGAACGAGGGCCACACCAGGCTGGAGATCGGCAGCAAACTCCTTGACAACGTCTCGGTGAACAGTTCCAGAGATCTTGCCTACACAAAATTGAAAACTCCATATGAGCTGGATGACAAATAATTCTATGACTTCATCACAAAGGAAATGTTACGTAGTACAATTTTGTTCTGTTATCACTTCTGGGACCATACAGACAGAAGTTATCCAGCTTCAACTATATTACAGTTACAACATGATATTACACAGATTTTTTTTCGAGAAACCTAAGAGCAATTTTCCTATCATGGATTCATATACAACAAAATAGACAGACAATTAACATTGTCATGGTTAGCAAGTGAACTTTCATCATCATTCTAAAGAAAACAGGTATATATGTTCCTAGCACTTCAAGGGAGATGTAAATTTCCACAAAACCCTGTTCATGATACACTGACTGACTGACTGAGTTTGGTTTTACGCCGCTTTTAGCAATATTCCTGCAATATCACGGCCGGGGACACCAGAAATGGGCTTCACACAATGTACCCATGTGGGGATTCGAACCCGGGTCTTCGGCGTGACAAGCCAACGCTTTGACCACTAGGCTACCCCACCGCCCCGGTCATGATACACACAATATGTTGATTGTGAAACCCAATTACCGTAATTCACCTTGTTGCTTCTGATGCAGGTAGTGAAAAACAATGAAATCATACTCTGTTAAATTACTTGCCGGCCCGTTTCACAAGGTGATCATAGTGCTTAGACTATTGAGACTCCTATACTTTGATATTGACTTAAAACCATTGTAGAGCTCCTCTTGCTTTAGGAATCAGGCCTCTTCAATTACATGCAGACAGCGACTTCCTCACCTGTCTTATCTTTAAGGGCTGACACTGGCATCAAGACCCTGGATGTCGACACTCTCAAGGACAGCAAACATCAGCGCTACCTTGCCTTCAGGGAGCAATTTTTTGGCAGCCTAGACAATACACAAATGATTTCATTTTGACCCGATCTTCAATGCCCCTATTCATTCCACAAAATCTGTTAATGCCTGTATTTAGAGTTTTAAAATAAAGATGATATCAGATTTCGTAAAACATCTTGACTGGATGTTGGTAAAAAATTAAAAAGTAGAACAATTAAAAAGAATTATGCCATCAATCAATACACAGATATCTTTGTTACCATTTTACTTTCCAATTTCTGTTGGAAATGAACAAATTATCTATAAACATGATGAAAACTGCCGACATGACAGACTGCATCATTGCCAGTACCTTCTGTAGACTGGACAGAATGGAGTACTTGGTGAGAACCTCCTGTGACGCCTGTTGCAGGTCGTCCACCAGCGAGCCCCACGGCTGGTCACTGAACACATCGTCAGAGGACTGGGAGGACAGGATCACACCCTCAACCTGTAACATCATCACACCATCATCCTGTAACCCCTCATCCTGTAACATCACACCCTAATCCTGTAACATCATCACATCCTAATCCCGTAACATCATCACCTCATCTTGTAACATCATCACACCCTCATCCTGCAACATCACACCCTCATCCTGTAACATCATCACACCCTCAAACTGTCACATCATCACACCCACATCCTGCAACATCACACCCTCATCCTGTAACATCATCACTGCCTCATCCTGTAACATCATCACACCCTCATCCTGTAACATCATCACACCCTCATCCTGTAACATCATCACACCCTCATCCTGTAACATCATCACTGCCTCATCTTGTAACATCATCACACCCTCATCCTGTAACCCCTCATCCTGAAACATCACACCCTCAAACTGTAACATCATCACACCCACATCCTGCAACATCACACCCTCATCCTGTAACATCATCACACCATCATCCTGCAACATCATCACACCCTCATCCTGTAACATCATCACACCCTTATCTGTAACATCATCACAACCTCATCCTGTAACATCATCACTGCCTCCTCTTGTAACATCATCACACCCTCATCCTCTAACCCCTCATCCTGAAACATCACACCCTCAAACTGTAACATCATCACACCCACATCCTGCAACATCACACCCTCATCCTGTAACATCATCACACCCTCATCCTGTAACATCATCACACCCTTATCTGTAACATCACACCCTCATCCTGTAACATCATCACACACCCATCCTGTAACATCACACCCTCATCTTGCAACATCACCACACCCTCATCCTGCAACATCATCACACCCTCATCCTGCAACAGCATCACACCCTCATCCAGTAACATCATCACACCCTCATCCTGTAACATCATCACACCCTCATCCTGTAACATCATCACACCCTCATCCTGCAACATCACACCCTCATCCTGTAACATCATCACCTCATACTGTAACATCATCACTGCCTCATCCTGTAACATCATCACACCCTCAAACAGTAACATCATCACAACCTCATCCTGTAACATCATCACTGCCTCATCTTGTAACATCATCACACCCTCATCCTGTAACCCCTCATCCTGAAACCAACAAACCCTCATCCTGTAACATCATCACACCCTCATCCTGTAACATCATCACACCCTCATCCTGTAACATCATCACACCCTCATCCTGTAACATCATCACAACCTCATACTGTAACATCATCACTGCCTCATCCTGTAACATCACACCCTCAACCTGTAACATCATCACACCATCAAACTGTAACATCATCACACCCTCATCCTGTAACATCATCACAACCTCATCCTGTAACATCATCACTGCCTCATCTTGTAACATCATCACACCCTCATCCTGTAACCCCTCATCCTGTAACATCACACCCTCATCCTGTAACATCATCACACCCTCATCCTGTAACATCATCACACCCTCATCCTGTAACACCATCACACCCTCATCCTGTAACATCATCAAATCCACATCCTGTAACATCATACTTGCATGGATGTGTTGTTGAGTACATTATCTAGTGAGTGAAGGGTGCTTGCATGCGTTGTTGAGTACATTATCTAGTGAGCTAATGGTGCTTGCATGCATTATTGTGTACATTATCTAGTGAGCTAATGGTGCTTGCATGCATTATTGTGTACATTATCTAGTGAGTGAAGGTGCTTGCATGCATTATTGAGTACATTATCTAGTGAGTGAAGGGTGCTAGCATGCATTATTCTGTACATTATCTAGTGAGTGAAGGGTGCTTGCATGCATTATTATGTACACTATCTAATGAGTGCGTGAGTTCAGTTTTACGTGGCTTTTAGCAATATTCCAGCAATATCACGGCAGGGGGCGTACATTATCTAGTGAGTGAAGGGTGCTTGCATGCATTATTGTGAACATTATCTAGTGAGTGAAGGGTGCTTGCATGCATTATTGAGTACATTATCTAGTGAGCTAATGGTGCTTGCATGCATTGTGTACATTATCTAGTGAGTGAAGGGTGCTTGCATGCATTATTGAGTAAATTATCTAGTGAGTGAAGGGTGCTTGCATGCATTATTGAGTACATTATCTAGTGAGCTAATGGAGCTTGCATGCATTATTGAGTTCATTATCTAGTGAGTGAAGGGTGCTTGCATGCATTATTCTGCACATTATCTAGTGAGTGAAGGGTGCTTGCATGCATTATTGTGTACATTATCTAGTGAGTGAAGGGTGCTTGCATGCATTATTGAGTACATTATCTAGTGAGTGAAGGGTGCTTGCATGCATTATTGAGTACATTATCTAGTGAGTGAAGGGTGCTTGCATGCGTTGTTGAGTACATTATCTAGTGAGCTAATGGTGCTTGCATGCATTATTGTGTACATTATCTAGTGATTGAAGGGTGCTTGCATGCATTATTGAGTACATTATCTAGTGAGTGAAGGTGCTTGCATGCATTATTGAGTACATTATCTAGTGAGTGAAGGGTGCTAGCATGCATTATTCTGTACATTATCTAGTGAGTGAAGGGTGCTTGCATGCATTATTATGTACACTATCTAATGAGTGCGTGAGTTCAGTTTTACGTGGCTTTTAGCAATATTCCAGCAATATCACGGTAGGGGGCGTACATTATCTAGTGAGTGAAGGGTGCTTGCATGCATTATTGTGAACATTATCTAGTGAGTGAAGGGTGCTTGCATGCATTATTGAGTACATTATCTAGTGAGTGAAGGGTGCTTGCATGCATTATTCTGTACATTATCTAGTGAGTGAAGGGGGCTTGCATGCATTATTGAGTACATTATTTAGTGAGCTAATGGTGCTTGCATGCATTATTGTGTACATTATCTAGTGAGTGAAGGGTGCTTGCATGCATTATTGAGTACATTATCTAGTGAGCTAATGGTGCTTGTATGCATTATTGAGTACATTATCTAGTGAGTGAAGGGTGCTTGCATGCATTATTGTGTACATTATCTAGTGAGTGAGTGAGTATGGTTTAACGCCGTTATTTGCAATATTCAAGCAAGATCACAGCTGGGGACACCACAAATGGGCTTCACATATTGTGCCCATGTGGGGAATCGAACCCGGGTCTTCGGCATGGCGAGCGAACGCTTTAAACACAAGGTTACCCCACCACCCCCTCCATCAACCCACCGCCCCACATTATCTAATGAGTGAAGGGTGCTTGTATGCATTGAGTACATTATCTAGTGTGTGAAGGGTGCTTGCATGCATTATTGAGTACATTATCTAGTGTCAGTGAATGAAGGGTGCTTGCAGGCATTATTGCATACATAATCAAGTTAGTGGTGCTTGCATGTATTATTATGTACACTATCTAATGAGTGCGTGAGTTCAGTTTTATGCCGCTTTTAGCAATATTCCAGCAATATCACAGCAGGGGGCGTACACTATCTAGTGAGTGAAGGGTACTTGCATGCATTATTGAGTACTTCATCTATTGAGTGAAGGGTGCTTGCATGCATTATTGTGGACATTATCCAGTGAGTGGTGCTTGCATACATTATTGAATACATTATCCAGTGAGTGGTGCCTGCATGCATTATTGTGGACATTATCCAGTGAATGAAGGATGCTTGCATCGTGTTCATTATCTAGTGAGTGGTGCTTGCATGCATTATTGAGTACATTATCCCTTAAATGGTAATTGCATGCATTATTGTATACATTATCCAGTGAGTGGTGCTTGAATGCATTATTGTGTACATTATCCCTTTAATGGTGCTTGCATTCATTACTGTGTATATTACCTTGTGAGTTGTGCTTGCATGCATTATTGTGCACATTATCAAGAGAGTGAGTGCGGGCATGCATGCATGAGTGACTGGAAGAATTTGTTGGCGTTAAACACTGGGAACATTATTTCACTTAATATAATATTAGGAAAAGCGTGGATTGAATCAAGGTATACCCCACACTGTCTTGAATAGTAAATGATTGGTGCTTTATTAAGACCTTGTTCATTTTGCTTCAAGAAACATCCAGTGGTCATGCGGTTAGTGTCAGCAAAGTGGTAAACTTATATTTGTTTCAGCACATCTAGTACATCCAGTGAATAATTTTAAAATATATTTTTTACAAAAATTAAAACAAACAAATGTAACAAATTCTTAGCAATACTGTGAACAAGTTATCTTTCCTATATTTGTCCAGGGGCCTGTTCGAAAACATGATTGTACAGCTACAACTGTCATTAGGCTAAGTTAAAGTACGGAAGTCATGATAACTTGAGCATTAGTATGATAGAGATGGCTTTGTGGAACTGGGCCCCAGGCCACATCGAGCAAAATATTCAATGCTCAGATCCTTATTGTAACGTACCCTCGGCTCTGTAGGATTTTGTCTGGAGATGCCAGTGAGGGTGACATTTGCAATACTCTGTCCGGGACTCTGAAACATGCCAACATGCTCATCATTATCATGAACACCAATACCATGGTAGTTGGTACACTATACAACCATAAGTCTAGTTATGTAAACAATCATTAACATTTATATGGCATGGGAAACAGGTGATGAAACTTTTTCAGATGCATAGCTTTTGTGTGAGACCTACATATGATACAAAGTCTGGCATAAAATATTGATAATCAGAATTATCAATATTAAAAGTGTGATCTATAATATCATACCTCAACTATTTTCACTTATCTTGCTTATTAATGCCACTTGCTGAAGATAGAGAGAAAATGTTTTCGTTAAATATTAAATATTAACAACGTAATCCATGTCATGCAAATGTGTGACCACTGATGATGGATACGCTGTGTTCTTTTGGAGCGTGTTTGCTCAAACTTCTCCAAAATGTATTAATAATCTACCCACATTTAGTTTACAATTATCATTCTCTATGAAAAATATATCTATAACAAGAATGCACAGTGAATTATACTACTGCCAAATCTGAAGCATTTTAAAAAATCTACAAAAAGGCTAACAGCAGCATAAGTGTAGGGGCCATGTGAAACCCCTCACAATGGAGGGGTTTCATAATCAACAAACAGCAACATCATTGAACATATTAGTGGCGGTCCGATTAATTGAAATAATCGAAGATTGGTCGGAGTGACTAAACGACCAAGCAATTGATCATAATTTCTCATAATCGAACACAACCAATTTTGGAACACTTGTTTTCATTAACAATATTTTTCACATGGTTGGTTTTGTCTGTTACATTTTGTAAGCACTACAAGCTCGCTTCAAGCCATGATGGAATTTATCTTAAAGGCTCCAAGAAATTGATGTTCCTAACATACTAGTCATCCTTTAAAGATGTGAAATTTTGCCAAAAAGCCCCAAAAGAACTACATGATTTTTTTCCTTATTTTTATGTGCATTAACAAATTTCATAAATGACGCTAACCAATCATTTTTTCAATGATTGATCGGTTGTAATGAACCAATCATCAATTATGAGATTTTAACCAATTCCCAACACTAGAACATATGATAGGATCATGTCGCAAACAACAGAATAGATAGCATACCATTGTTTGCCCACTCATTGAGATCCAGTTCAGTGGCTATAATGAAACGATGGCAACTTTATCTAAACCTTGGGATACAATTACAAAGGTGAGGGGAGTTAAGGTTAAATTCAGATTAATATTATAAATCTGATATCCACAAGAGAATTCTGTTCTCTGCATCCCTTTCAACTTTACTGGCTTACAGAAGGACGACTTACCAGCTTTGGCAAAAGCCCAGCAGGGCCGGGGGAACTTTCTCTTGTGACGCTGCTTGGGTGTTGTTTCATTCCTGTTATTTCTTGCTGGCTCAACTTCATGATGTGATACATGATTGGAAATGAAAGCTGAACCTGTCGATCTGTCATTCCTCACAGTGCCTACTCCTTGACCAGATGACACTGGTGATGCATGACTGGAAATTATAGATGAACTTGTCGATCTGTCATTCCTAACATTGACTACTCCTGGCCCGGACACAGCTCGTTGTGTGATGATGCTTGTTTCAGGCAGAACATTTCTATTCAGCACTTGGTTTGTTACATTGAGACTCTGTTCTCTGCCTAAAGTAGTATTACTGTTACAGTCAGTCCTGTAAGTGTCCTTAGCACCATAATGCAGTCCTCTGTTGTCAATATTTGACTGAACATAGTGCAAGTCTGTCTCAGACTGCTCCTGATTTGACCTTGACTTCAAATGGTTATCATTTTCGGTGAACGTGTTGATTCTCAGTCTCTTACTTGAAGCTGAACATGATTCTGGATGTGAGACACTTGCGTCACATTCCAGCTGTCTCTTCTGACCTTGACCTCCCGTTGTAAGATTCGTCACAGTTGCACATACTTTTCCTGTACTAGTGTTTGTGATGTCCTCCATCGGGAGATTCTGAAGATATAACAAACACTAAGGATGTTTTGTTTGATGTTTAATGCCACACTCAGCAATATTCCAATGAAACAGAAGCAGTCTGTAAGTAATCAAGTCTGGACCTGACAATCCAGTGATCAACAGAACAAGCATTGATATACATAATTGGGAGACGATGACATGTGTCAAACAAGTCAGCAACCCTGACCACCCGATCCTGTTAGTCGCCTCTTACAACAAGCAGGGGTTGCTGAAGACCAATTCTAACCCGGATCTTCACAGGTAGCGAGGATGTAATCATACTGATGCACCATTCAATTACATTTACCATGTTTACATTACAGTTTGTTTATTTGTTCATTGATTAACATCACACCTAATAACATTCAACCCACATGACAGTGCTCTGTAGATAATGAAATTGAGACAAAACTTATGTACATGATGTAGTGATTGATATAATGTGCATCAACCTAAGAAATTTGGATACAATGACATCAACCAAGCCAGCCAAGCGTAACCATGCTATGTGAGTCTGGCCCACACAATCTGGTGATTGACATCATGCATATTTGCTTATTCAGTTTGGATTCAAGACATTATGACAACAATGAGTTTCTGACACCAGTTCTGTAGTTTTATCTATCTAAATGAAAAGCTTGTTTAATGAAACAATACACAATAAAATATACAAGATTTCAGTGTAAAATGGAATTCTGTCCTTCTGTTGCTAGTATAACCGATATCTAATATGCTATCAGAGTATCTCTATTATCTGACATCAAACATCTTTCAGTGAATTCACTTCTTAGCTAGGGCAACATCTTCATTACAACAGAGATCCCTACACCACTCTGATATAATACTAGCTTGTATGACCCTCCCTAGTCTGTCTCACAGTCACTGAACAACCTTAATATTTCCCTAATGCTTAGTCCTCCCTGCAATGCTAAAGCCCTACATGAAGCAAGTCTAGATTTCCCCAGCCTCATATTTTTGGTGACCCTTCCACTGTTCCCTCTGCCCCACCCACTGGTCCTTTATATAAAAATGTTAAACACAGAAGCCAGTACAGGGCGTAGTTTCCACAAGAAAATATTTCACGGTCATGGTTTACTTTCCACCAAGTTTCAAAGAGAAATGTTGTTCATGTTGTCGAGTTCTTTTCCCAGTTTTGGTTCTACAATCTGCCACACTCGAGTGACATAAACCTACCTCCCAAAAGTTGTCATCGTCGTCAGGTATTTCAAACATCGTCTTTGTATCATTTCAGGGTAAACAGTTGTGTTAACATAAACATATGAAGCAAATTTCTGAAATGGAATGAAATATGAAGCCTACGACGCTCGCTGACATGAGTTTTACTCTTTCGTAAACCCGCCATGGATGATCAACACTGAGGACTACGTCATCAGTTTGTGTGGTCTTCCTGTTAATACATAAAGCGCTCGTAAAATCTTTTCTCCAAAGTTGAGCCCAGTTAGTAGTTAAAATTTCAATATTAAAATTATTATATCTTCCGACAGGTACATACCACAATGTGTTTAAACGTATTTAACATAATTTATGAAATGTAGTCTAGACATTTTAAACCTTATTTGAAAGAAGACTGTTTAAATGATATCCTGTATTATATGTTGTGGCCAGGAGAGAATGGATAGCAAACGGAAGACGAAGGGGCACATTCTACTTACTATTCATCCTATAAAGATCATGAAAGAGATTTTCGGAGATTACATCGCAAAAACAGTGTTAACTAAAACGGATGTGGACCAAACATGTAAAACTGACATTACATATATATATTACAAACATGTTCGCAGACAGAGACACAAGTGAACAATAATAGACGCACTCGAGTACAAGGGGGCTAAAGTTATATCCACATTTGACATACGTTTGTTTGCTTATTTGTTTTTCAATACCGCACTCCAGCAATAGTCCCGCTATTTGAAGGCGGTCTGTAAATAATCCAGACAATCCAGTGATCAATAGAATATAAGCAGTGAATAAATATATAGATATCTATATGAATCAACTGTTCAGACACGTTCACCTTTATAAAAAAACATTTCTCGCTAAGGGTCCACCTCTTCTAAAAACAACAATTTGAATTTTCTCTAGATTAACTGTCAACATTAGTATTCTGATCAAAGTATTTCTGTACAAATATGAAAAACATCTCGTTAGTGTATGGGACGGGATCATTATATCAGTAAGACTAAGTTGTAATCACAGTCACGCCTGATTGATTTGTCTGACAATTGGGATGTCTAACTTTTAGGAGTAAACCGATGCGATGACATAATAATAATAATAATAATAATATGTGTATTTATAATGCGCTGAATTCCACACATAAGGCATGCTCAAAGCGCTACATATTTACAAATATTTACAAAGCAAAGGTTATGCTAGAACGAGGGTGAAATTTTTGGAAAGTTAAGCTATAGATTGTAATATTTTCTGAAAAGATGGGTTTTCAGGGAACTTTTAAATGAGTCAATGGAGGGAGACATTTTGAGTTCAGTCGGGAGTTGATTCCACAACTGTGGAGCACCATAGCTGAAGGAGCGAAACCCGAATGCCCGGAGTTTCTGTCTGGGAATTGTGAGAAGGTGTCTGTCTGCCGATCTTAACATTCTGGAAGGATTGTGCTTGGTGACTAGCTCAACAAGGTACTCTGGAGCCGTAAGATGGTAACACTGGTAGGCAAGACTCAGGACCTTGAATTCAATTCTGGCTCTGATTGGTAGCCAGTGAAGAGACTTAAGAACAGGCGTTATGTGGATCCTAGAGGGAACTTTGCTGACAAGTCGAGCTGCAGAGTTTTGTACTTTCTGGAGATTTGATAGAAGTTTTTCGGAAAGTCCATAAAATATGCTATTACAGTAGTAAGGGAGCTTCGGATGTAGTAAGGGAGCTTCGGATGCTGCTAATGTTCCGCAAATGGAAGTAACAGGATTTGCAGACTGTGTCAATATGAGCTTTCAAAGAGAGATCAGAGTCCAGATGAAGTCCAAGGTTTTTTTTACGGTTTTCGAAAATGGAATGACAGTGTTGCAAACTGTGACTGAGTTAGTCATCACTTGATGAAGATTCTTCTTAATGCCGACAAATAACGCCTCTGTTTTCGTCTTATTCAGTTTGAGCAAATGTGTCGTCATCCATGTTTTTACGTCACTTGTCAATATGAGCTTTCTGAGCAATATGAGATTGCACGAATCAGACAACTGGGTGTCATCAGCATAAAAATGGTGGCTCACATCATGTGTACTGATTACATCTCCCAGATCTCTGGTGTAAAGCGTAAACAACACTGGTCCCAGAACCGATCCTTGTGGTACTCCACAGGATAAAGGGCTTTTCTTAGATGTACGATTATTTATGATAACTGACTGCTATCGATTGCTGAGGTACGAAACAAACCATGATAGTGCCATTCCGGTTACTCCAAATGAAGTCTCAAGTTGTCTCAGGAGTATATTGTAGTCAAGAGTGTCAAAAGCAGCTGACAGGTCAAGAAGTACAAGTATGAAATCTTTCCGCTGTCAACGGAGCAAAGCAAATCATTCGTGACACATGTGTCAACCAAGTAAGCGAGTCTGACCACCAGAACACGTTAGTCGCCTCGTACACCAAGCATGGGTTGCTGAAGACCAATATATTGCCAAACATAAATCATGAAAAATCTCTGAAAAAATATGTTTATTCCGTCTTTGGTGAATAAAGTGGAAGTTGGTGTATATCTAAAACTAGAAATGTTTGATGATGTTGGGATGCTGTCAGTTTTCTTGAAACAGATGTATCGGACTTTTGTTGCTCTATTGACTATTACATAACTTATGGGAATATATAAAGCTATCCTTTTGCGCTTTTGTTTGGGAAATAAGAGAGTCTCTGCTGCACGTGTAACAGTCTTTCTATACAATTTACTTTGCCAACGGTGACATTTTATGCTACGTTTCTTTCCTCTTCTATACCGGTACTTTGTGTTCAGAATGTATATTAGATAGTTTTGTCTTTTGTATGATCTGTGGATATGTTTCTGTAGGACATTCCTTCCTTTCTTCCTTCTTCATTTTTTCATTCATTCACTCACATAATTTATCAGAAGAAGTCTAGACTTCTTGATCACAAGCTACAATTTTCAATCGTCAAGGTAAAACTATTAAAATTGTGGTTTCATGATTTTTTTAATGAATTCCTGACAATAATTCATGAGTTTACATATACAAGACTCACTTTAGTCGTCTGCAGAATACAATTTATAAGGTGATACTATATAGCTCAGCGGGAAGCTCTTTGGACCAACCCATGTATAGTTTAGATATACTGCTGTGCACTCTCGAACCTTTACAGCAGTTGGACTGTTGTATCCACAAATCTACGGAATGATAATTTCTTTTATCAAACAAGATAGGGTACGTCTCAAAATGGAATGGAAAAAGATGTATAAGTTCAACGTTACATTATATGAAGGTATTCCGATATATTAGCCTCCTCCGTGGTGTAGTGGTTATAGTGTCCGCCCGAAGAGCGGAAGGTCGCGGGTTCGATCCCCGGCCGCGTCGTACCAAAAGACGTTAAAATATGGTACTTGGTCCCTGCCTGGTGCTCGGCATTAATGGGTACAACAAGGACTAGTTGACGCGGAGGCAGTATAATGTGTCTAAGTTGGGTATTCGGGTTTACCTGCGTCATGAGCTAGCACTATAAAACCAGCCTGGGCTATTGCACCCGTGAAGATCCGGGTTAGAATTGAGCTTCAGTAACCCATGCTTGTGGTAAGAGACGACTAACGGGATCGGGTGGTCAGGCTCGCTGACTGGGTTGACACATGTCATCGTATCCCCATTGCGTAGATCGATGTTCATGCTGTTGATCCCTGGATTGTCAGGTTCAGACTCGATTATTTACAGACCGCCGCCATATAGCTGGAATATTGCTGAGTGCGGCGTAAAACTAAACTCTCTCACTGGGCTAGGGCAAGCAGCCACGCATGCAAGTCGTCATATGAGCGAAATATTCTTAACTACGACGTTAAAGCCCATTTCACCTCACCTCACTCCATTATTTTAATGCGATTAGAATACCTCGGCAACATTCGTTGTCAAGGAAGCCAGACAGAGACGATTTCAGGCTGTTGAAAAGAATATTGGCACACATAATGTTCACAAGTTTACCATTTACCACGACGAAACATAGGTAAAGAAACAAAATAAGAAAGGAAATCAGGCCCTGCGACTCTCAATCGTCTCGTGTACAAAATATAACGAAGATAATCGTCTTTAAATTTCATGTGTAGACGTATATGAATTGGGAACTGTCCCGCCAAACACGATCAGCTTGAAAGTTGGCGACAGAGAAAAACCTGACATCTTGTAATGTCGACTTCCGACATCTGACATGAAAACACAACAAATCTGTCTGAATAGGAAACATATGCTTACAAGACAGCTTCACAATAAATTGTCAGACATTGCCAACTGAGTGAGTATGGTTTTACGCCGCTTACAGCAATATTCCAGCAATATCACTGCAGGGGACACCAGCAATGGGCTTCATACATTGTACCCATGTGGGGAATCGAACCCGGGTGCTCGGCGTGATGAGCGAACCCTTTAACCAGTAATGATTCTTAGTAAAATGGATAATGACACATTGAACGGATTATTAATTGTGACTTAACTAAACATAAAGTACTATTTTCTGTGATGTTGTATTATGTTTCAAACGTCCTTTTGTCTCTCAGGATGCAGGCAAGTAGGTGGAAAGGACAGTTAGTTCTGCAAGAGGCCTTGTGCTTTAACTATGATAGCTGACTGCAAAACTGTATTGTACACGATGACACAAAGAAGCTACAGTTGTTAAGTAGCTACAACGATTTTAGACTATACAATTACAGAGGCTGTGTACTCACAACTCAAGCAGGTACATAACGACTACCTACTGAATGTTACCCATGCTCCACTTCATGCGATGATTGATTGATGAAGGTCGCCAGTTGATCTTAAACTTTATAAAAAAATACTCTTCGAAGTACATCCATTAAATTGAATCCTAAAACATTCCGCACCGTATAAGCAAGAACGTGTTTGTACAGGATTCACCCAGCCGGGCAAAACGCACTAAATCATCGGTTGAAAACATCAATAGTTGATAGTTGATTCTCATATTGATCTTAGAATAGTGTTATGCTATTCATTGTGCCCAAAGTACCTTACTTTTCTCATTCTTTATCAGTGGAACATTCTCCCTCAAGAACTACAACATATTCTTCCTTCCGTCTCTCAAATCAGTTCCGTCAAGCATTTGTGGCGTACATTAATTAAACAATACCCTCAAAGTAGAGCCAGACAAAAGTAGGGTACAGTGGGAATCATCAAGTCATAAACAGACGGCCAAAAGAAACTTTGTCTTTAATAATAATGAAAAATGAACTTGAACACAAGCTCAGAATATATCAATGCAAATCTCATCGTTCACACTCAACAATTATGCACCCTGCAGAAACTGATGTAGAAAATGCGAAAAGGTGAAAAACACAAACCGCCTGTGCTGCCGAAACGTGAATTCAAGGAGAGTGAATGATGTAGAAGCACCTGATTCCCTTCATACACAATCTATGATGGACACTCCATATACCCCTTCCCCCAGTCGCTCCCCGCACGCACCTACGCACGCACACACACGAAGTGCATTGGCTGAACAGGCTCTAGGTAAGATGTAAATGGGAGGCCACACTGCTGGAGCTATTGGTTGTGCCGGTGTTGCTGTAGCTAACCTTATGCAACGTTACAGGCAGACCGTGCAGACACCTGAGAGGGACCAAGACTGACTGACTGACTGAGTTTTGGTTTTACGCCGCTTTTAGCAATATTCCAGCAACATCACGGCGGGGGACACCAGAAATGGGTTTCACACATTGTACCCATGTGGGGATTCGAACCCGGGTCTTCGGCGTGACGAGCCAACGCTTTAGCCATTAGGCTACCCCACCGCCCCAGAGGGACCAAGAGCAGGCAGACCCAGGGTAACTACTCTCACGGAAGACGAGACTTGCGTAAGATGCATCTCCGGAATCGATTCCTGACGTGACGTTATCAGCGACAAATATTTTGGGGCATGGTCAGGGTTAATGGCATGGTCAGGGCACCCAGGCTCAAGTAATTACCGCTAATATACCCTACAGACGACTTTTATTGACAGTTCAACGTCGGTGTCAGAGACTAAGCTCGCCCGGACTCTACGTCGCGGCCAGCAACGGGATTGACAGAGGGTCGTCTTCACTGACGGAGGCTGGTTCTGTCTTGGAGAGCTTTGACAGCATGTTTGTTGCCTGAAGCGCTCAAGAGGTTGTGTGCTGTATTGAGGAAGGGGTATAATTGTGTGGGGAGTGATTTGTTGGCAGGAGAGAACACCACTGGTCATCATTAGCTGAAATTTGACAGCTCAGCGTTACATGGATGACCTGTCCCTACCATTTCTACAACAGCTGCCACGTGGTGTCCTTTATGGACAGATGTAATGGAATGAACTGTCTTTTAAGGATGGATGAAATTAAGTGTGTGTTGTGGAGTTGGAAGACTTGGGTCACAATTTGGCAAGATTAGAACGTTCATTATATTCTTTAAAATACATTGCTCAATATGTTGTACATATGACACCACGAGTTGTGAAATGACAATGCCCCAAGAGTATTGACCTGTGACTCCGCAAAGCCAAAGCAATCATTCTGTGCGACGTTAACGTTCATCAGAACGTCACCAAACTCGTTTCCGTCGGTCATGGAAGTAAAGAGAGCATCTTGCTTCGTCAGAAAGCAGGATATTCGCCTGACATAGATAACCCCATTGCTGACGTTCCCTACACCACAGACGCCTCTGATTTAAACGGGGCGGTAGGTTAGCCTAGTGGTTAAAGCGTTCGCTAGTCACGCCGAAGACATGGGTTCGATTACCCACATGGGTACAATGTGTGAAGCTTGAATATTGATAAAAGCGGCGTAAAACTAAACTCAATCACTTACTCACACTGATTTATGACGTAAGTTGTTGACGTCATCGGTAGACGTCATCTGTGAGACGATTACGCACCGTTTGGGCGTGTACCATCACACCAGCAGCCTTTTTCACTGATCCTTTATCTGACAGGCAGTTTGCAACCGATTCCTTTGTCCCTCCTACTGCCCACAAATTCCTCTGGTTCTGTTGCTCTTGAACACTCAGAATAGCGTCATCTACGTTATACTCAGAACTGAGTCGACTAACGAGATCGGGTGGTCAGGATCAATGACTTGGTTGACTCAGGTCATCGTATCCCAATTGCGCGGATCGATGTTTTGATGTTGATCACTGGATTGTCTGGTCCTGACTCGATTATTTACAGACTGGAGCTATATAGCTGGACTATGGGTTTAAAACACCAAACCAACCAGCAGAAACGAGTCTGAGTGGCAGTGGTATAGCTGGCATAGCAGCATTGCTCGTTCTGGTCGAGGTCATGTGCCTTATGACTGCCTCGCTGTTGTGTTTTGGAGTTGGATTTCTTTAGAAATATTCTTGCTACATACATCATTTACTTTCACCAGACATCGGTTCATTGTTCCTGCAATTCCACCTCAAAACAAAATATCCCTATTTTATTTCGCATAGTGCCTATCATCGTGAATAATTTGGGCACTGACCTTCAGATATCGTTTTGATGCCACCTGAGTGAGTGAGTGAGTCTTTACGGCGCTTTTAGCAATATTCCAGAAATATCACGTCGAGGGACACCAGACATGGGCTTCATGGAAATCGAACCCGATTCTTTGGCGTGACGAGCAAACACTTTAACCACTGGGCTTCCCCATCGCCTTGATGCACCTGAAAATAGTGCAGTTGTAATAATATTATCTAACTGAGCATAAAAATCTGCCTGAACTCACTCTCAACAGTGTTTCATGGCGTGTGACCTTGATCTCACGAATACATCGAACACAACCAAGAAAAGGTGCTGCTGTAGACATTCGAACACACGATCCCTTTAAACTGGCTCCACTGATGGTACGCGACTAACGCTTAGCGCTTTCAGTTTGGACAGACTGTCCCGTTAACAAAGTTGTCTAGCACGACTTTTTAAAATCACCCCACATCAAAATGCGACTCATTATACTAGAGTATTCTAGATGACAAGATGACAAGGTCGCCCGTATGCGAATAGATGTTCTCGTGAATGACGTGATTTATGTTGGTCACGCTGTCTGATTATTAGCAAATACAGAATCTGTTACATCTTGAGTCAACAGCCTGTGCATATAGACTGTAGGGGTAGCCTAAAGAGATCACTTGTCACGCTTACGACATCTAGAACATAATGTGTGAAGCCCGATATCTGGTATATCCCCAAGGACAACTTTTTATAGCTCGTCTTGTTTCAGGTTACCGTCACATACACAGCTAAAGGAGAATGATGCTCCAGATTTTCTGTTGAGTAACTGAATTCAAAAGCTGGAGGAAACAAAGTGTTAAGAGGTCCAACAAGGAGCTCCAAGTGGGTAAGATATTCTTATAACTTTTGTATTTCATGTTAGGCAATTTTTCTTGTTTAGACGCAAGGGCAATGCCACATACATTGACTGACTGACTGAGTTTGGTTTTACGCCGCTGTTAGCAATATTCCAGCAACATCACGGCGGGGGACACCAGAAATGGGCTTCACACATTGTAGCCATGTGGGGATTCGAACCCGGGTCTTCGGCGTGACGTCCTACACATACATTGAACAGCTGAAGGGGAATGTTGCTCCAGATTTTCTGGTGAGTAACTGAATTCAAAATCTTTCGGAAAGAAAGTGTCAAGAGGGTCCACCAATGAGTTCCAAGTGGGTGGCATATTCTTCCTCTGTATTTTATCTAAGGCAATAATATGATTATCATGCTTAGGTGCAAGGACAAGTACAACCATAATTTTTTAGGGCAAAAGTAATCACCAGTTCTCAGAGAGAGAATGCTCAATCAGCTGTTTCTGATGCCGTTTTGATTTATATTTTTTTAGCAGACGAATAAACACGAATGATTGTCAAATACGCACCCACTACTACGAAGTAAACATGGTAAACTTCGTAGAAATCAACTGGAAATAGCTATGTTTTTGTGACAATCAAAACATGTGTCACATTTGTTTCATTATGATGTCGCCAAAGCTGTAGTGGACACGATTAGTATGTTTACCACCAAAAGTGTTTAAAATCACTTCCCATATTTTGTACTTACATGAATGTAAAACCTACGACAAATGAAGGGATTATTATAAAAAAATCCAAACAAATGTGACACTACGTTAATTTACGTTACACACGATTGGTAATCTACATGACGTTGAACGACTTGTACGTTTTTGATTCGTTTGAAGGAAAAATGATTGTTCAGTACAAAAACTGTCTTTCATTTTGAAAGAAAGAAAGAAAGAATGATATTATGATGCTCATGTAATCTTACGAAATATTAAATCCAGACAGTGAGTGAGTGGTTTAAGATTTAACGTCACATCGGCAATATCTCAGCCATATCGTGGCGAGAACAATGTAATTCATATCAATATAAAAACAATAAATTGAGAAAATATAAACCTGTCATCGAAGGACAGTAAAACTACTAGAATATCACAGCTCTTAATTTAAAACTAGTACGCTATCATAAAAATATATCACTATAGACAACAATACAATATAAAACAGGGCTATAGATCACCAGCACCTGTTACTCCAGACAGATTCTTCATCGCTATGACACAAACAGATATGGAAAACATCCTAAGGCTTGCAAATAATAATTTTGTGTTATGTATACTTCCATCGCATACGTTGAATGTCAGTCCTTGTACACAGTAATTGAGAACATCCTCAGGTGTAGGACGCTGAATGTTATACATGTGAACAAGTGGTTTTGGTGTAAATCTGTAATCTACGTTAAAAGACATTCAGTGAAAACCTGATCAATAAGATTACCTTTTATTACTGCTGTTGCATTGTCAGTGAAGTTAATTATATTACATGCTGACTTGTTTGGTCGTCTTTCTTTGCGTAAAAAACCTGCATTTAACAGTTTAAGATAAACTTATATTTTCATGTGTCTTGACTTGATCAAGTTTATTGTTATAATGTTAACAAACTCAACTGATTGAAGAGAAAGTGAAATGTTATGTTGTTTTCTTGAAGAAACACAACTCGGGGATTAACGACCGAACTTTGTGCATGATGTCTCTTTCAATGTGTTATGCAGGCATAAACTTGTATAGATGTTGATTTAGATACATGCATTACCGAGTTCTTCACACGCTTCGCGTATGCATGTTCTGATGGGTTTATGTATCCAATAGAATAAAGACAGGAGAGATACATTGCTTAGAGGAACATAATGAAACATTAAACAGGGAACGCGAGAACTGTGCGCTGCATTCAGACGCAAAGCATTGAAGCAACCCGTGCATGTCATTTCCATACTATACAAAATACGACATGAATGGATGCACATGTCATAAGCCGGTGACGCCCCAAAATTATTTCCAGAAACATAAACCATTCATGTCATTTTTCCATATTCATAACAAAAGTAGCAAGCCTGATTGGACTGTTGCAAGTTGCTTAGCACAGACATTATATAAATGTACACTAAAACCTGTATACCCAAACATGAAATGATAACGTGCTTGTGACCTTCAATCTGGATTCACGACAGATCAGTCGCGATCGAGGTCTTTAGATCACATCGTAAATAGGCCAGATTAAGGTGAGTAAGTTTGAGATGTATTTTGTGATGTAAGGCTTTTAAAATAGTTTGGCACAAAGGAACAGTTTAGAAAACTACAACATTGTGGCAACTGTGGATATATCTACCGTGTGGTTGCATGTTATTGGCCATGGAACAGTTGATCGCCTATTTATTCCTACAGGCCGCCGTCTCGTCTAATGCAACTTGGGTGAACGGCGGGTTTTGTCTGTAGGGCGGGACGTTTTTTCATGAACAGCTGTTGCCATCCGATTTTCACTGATCCACACATATCGGTCCCGTTAGGAATGGATGTTCAGCAACCAGGGCTTGTCATAAGAGGCAACTAATGGGATCGGGTGGACAGACTCGGTGATCTGTTCGATGCATATAATTTCCTCCAATTGCTTTGATCGATGTTCATACTCTAAATCACTGGATTGTCTGACTCAGTCTTGATTATTTACAGACCGCGTAAGGCCTGTTTATGCTGACCAGTTATTGGTTTCTATGTTGAGCAGGATGGTAAAATGTTGCTAGAAGTTCAAATAAGTTTGGTCAGGCTCGCTGGCTTGGTTGACACAAGTCATCGGTTCCCAATTGCGCAGATCGATGCACATGCTGTTGATCACTGGATTGTCTGGTCCGGACTCGATTATTTACAGACCGCCGCCATATAGCTGGAATATTGTTGAGTGCGGCGTAAAACTAAACTCACTCACTCAGTTTGATTAGTTATTGCAAGATAAACAACAAAACAAGAATATTGCGAATTATGTATTGTATAAATGAAGTAATCTGTTAAAACATACACGTACCCATTACGCTATCTATGACCTGCATAACATAACCGATCTTCTGATCTTTGAAATGTTTATTGTCCATATAGCATGTCTGCCTTACATATGTATAATTGTACGAGATGGAAAACAACAACAACAACAAAACCAAAGAAAAACAACAACAGTCATGGGACCAATTTGGACTGAAGGACAGTTATGACCACATCCATCAATGACAGTCAATCTCTCATGTTGATAAACAAATGGATAAACAAATGAAATCCACATTTGAACGGAATAGGGTGTGCATTAAAGATTAGGACATCTACTGTAGAGTTTCCATATTTTTAATCGTCAGAAAGAGTCGATATGTAGTCTGTCAGTTTGAAACAAATATTCTATAACTCGAGAAAGATGCATTCTGCTTAGTAAATGTTGACGTTTTGTTGTCATTTCATTTGTCGGTCCTCGTTTGCAAACGGTTATGACGTAATATGTGATGGTATGTTCTAAGATGCTCAGATCAGCAAGAAGCTGTTGATGGAATTGGTGTCATCAGAAAATGTGCAACAAAATATATCATGAAAAGCCGTACTGTTCACTTCAAACCTGATGAGTGTTTTTCAAAACAAATAATCATCTCTCACACGAATATCTTTGCAGAATTATTTCTAATACATCCTCGAAAAGCACAAGTCATATGTTCAGCGATAAAGTATATATTCAAACAGTAAAGTGTAAAACAAGGGCATAATTATGTAACAGAGGTACAGATAAGCTGCGTATCTGCGTAAATTACGCAATTTTGTATGTGAAAACTCAATTCCTATTAAGTCTATTGCGTCTATTTATTTACAGAATAATCTATACAAAGAAAGAACTATTGAAGATGAAGCTAGTTGATAATGATACTTGTACTTTTTGTAAAAATACCTCAGAAGACATATTGCATGTATTTTTTTACTGTGATTTAGTTAAAAACTTTTGGCGAAAAGTAGAACAATTTCTTAATGCCCACCTCCAGTGTGATGTCACATTTACAAAATTCACTATCATGTTTGGAATGTTGTCAAACAATAAAGTACTAAACCATATTATACTTCTTGCCAAAAGATTCATTTATGTTTCAAGTATAAAACAACAAACACTTTCCCTTGAGGGATTTCTTAAGTTATTAAAAGATATATATACAACTGAAAAATATATAGCTAGGAAAAACAATAGCTTAGATCCCTTTATAAGGAAATGGAAACATTTAGATACCTTACTATGTGCTAAACATTAAATTCTACTTATAATATCAGCTGAGACCTCCAGACCCTACTCACTACAACCATACTATTCAACCTTACCCCTCCAATTTCATATTCCCTCCTCAGAAACTTTAATGACATCTTATGTATCTATATAACTGTTGTAATCTCATGATGTTATATTTATATATATGTATACATGCGTGTATGTATGTGCATATGTATGTATGTGTATATATGTATGTGTGCGCGTGTGTGTATATGTTTTTTTACTGTCTTTTATGTCATATAGAACCTTGCAAAACATCACTGAAGCTATGTACATATATATTTGGTTGTTGTCCTCTTTGCCATATGTATTTTATGTCTGACTTGAAATGGAATAAATAAAAAAAGAAAAAAAGAAAAAAAGAAAGTCTATTGCGTACAAGCACGCTTGAACTTTTGTAAATACTCAATAAATGTGATCTTACATGCGTACATACAAAAATGTCAAATCTTCGTTTGTGTACCGGTGGATAGATAAAATAAGTGAGTGAGTGAGTTAATATTTAACGTTACATCGGCAATATTTCAGCCATATCGTGACGAAAACAATTTATACAATACAAAAATGAAAACATGTTTGGTGAAGAAATAGTGAACAGTTTTAGAGTTCAGCTCCGGAAAAGAGCACCACCACAATTTCAGGCTAAGTCAAACTTGTTGCCATGGAAACGCCAAAAATATTTTATTCAGAATTCCAAAACAACCA